CCTCACACATTTCGTGGGCCGATAGAGAGCTCCACCGAAGGCCCCAACGGCAGGGTCCGCATGGCGCACCCACGCCCGATTGGGCACACTCTCATGTGATTCGTGGGTTCCACCGAAGGCCCCAGCGGCAGGGTCCGCATGGTGTACTTGCACTCAATTGGGCACACCCCACGAACGCCCCGCGACGCGCGCGGGTCGCCCCGAAGGAATTCGAGGGACGCGCGCGGGTCGTCCGCGCCGCGGGGTCAGAAACATCGGATGGCTGACAAGGGGCGAGCGGCCAGGCAGAGCGCGCGGGAGTTCGGCAGCACTTGGAGGCAGAGCGCATGGGAGTCCCCGCGACGCGCGCTGGTCGCTCCGAAAGGATTCCAGCGACGTGCGCGGGTCGTCCGCGGCGCGAGGTCATACAGTTGGGCAGTCGAGAGAAGGCGAAACTCGGGTGGACTGTTCTTCAGGCCAGGCCTCGCGGATCAACCTATAGAGGCCTAGCTTCTTGGAGAGGCCGTCGCGAAAGTAAGACGACTTCTGCTCGCCCATGTCCGCTTCTTTCCCCGCCCACGCCATGGTCATCTTGCCAGACCCCCTCTTCCCTTTCACTTGCCTCGCGATGCTCGTAGCTGCATAGTATGATTGGGTCCTTCGCCTCGATATTTTTCTCCCAGGGGACGGGGGGGGGCGGGGCCAGTCATTTTGAGGGGTCGTTGTTGCCCCTTGGGACCTCTCCCCCAGGGGGCGGCCTTGTGTGTGTGTGTTTTTGGTGCCGCTGACGGAAAATAATCTTCCCCCCCGCAGGGAATTTTGTGCAACCTCCAGCAACATGAAGTTACATATCATCCCGCAGTCGCGGATAAGAGTGAGGGGGCGGCGGGGACGTCGGCAGTCTGCGAGGCTCTGAAGAAGCCCGCCGCAGATTTTTACAACTCATCAGCTGAGGTGGGGATCGACCCCTTAGATGTCCCCAAGACGACCCAATACAGCCCCAAGAGCGCCCAAGCCACTGCCGCGACGGCCCCAGGTGGGCCCAAGAGGGCCCCAAGACGGCCCGAGAGCGCTCAAAGAGGGCCCAGGATGGCTTCAAGACGGCCAAAGGAGGCCCTCATGGCGCTCCACGTGGCCCCCAAAACAGGACGCCCCAGAGGCAGACCTGGCCCCATTCCAGTGAGAACGTTTATATTTTGAGCGTATCTGCTCCTTTGGTCTGCCCAGGGTCCATAACGTCCAAGAGGCCCCCAGGATTGCCTGAAGACGGCTTCAGAGGTCCCGAGACGGCCCTAAGGCCCATCTTTCGGCCCTCGACGGCTCAAGTCAGCCCCAAGAGCGCCTCAGAGGGCCACGAGACTGCCCAAGGCCCAAGAGGGCCCCACGACGGCCCGAGAGCGCTCAAAGAGGGCCCAGGATGGCCCCAAAACAGCCAAAGAGGCTTTCAAGACGCTCCACGGGGCCTCCAAAAGGACGCTCCAGAGGCAAAGCTGGCCCCATCTCTGTGGGAAGCTATTAATTCCCCACATGTTTCGTGGGGTTCTGGTTTTCTTCTCTGCCGCGTCGCACCCGCGTCTCCTCACACACACCTCCCCTCCCCCCCCCCCCCCTCCCCACAGACATACACACACACCACAACACACACAACACACCACACCACACACACACACACACACACACACACACACCATCACACACACACACACACACACCCACCACACACACACACACACACACACACACACACATCACACCACACACACACACACACACACACACACACACACACACACACACACACACACACACACACACACACACACACACACACACACACACACACACACACACACACACACACACACACACACACACACACACACACACACACACAGCACAGCTCAGCACAGCTCAGCACAGCTCAGCTCAGCACAGCACAGCTCAGCACGGCACAGCACAGCTCACCGCAGCACAGCACAGCACGGCGTGCCAGGGTCGGAGAGCGTGGCAGGGGTGGCACTTTCTCGACACCAGAGGGGGTGCACTGGGGGTGGGGTCGCTATCCGTTTCGGGTTCGCAAAGCGTGGCAGGCGTGGCACATCCTCGACACCACAGAGGGCGCGCTGGGGGTGGGGTCGCTATCCGTTTCGGGCTCGCAAAGCGTGGCAGGCGTGGCACATCCTCGACACCACAGGGGGCGCGCTCGGGGTGGGGTCGCTATCCGTTTCGGGCTCCGACGATGATGATCCTGTTCCTATGTTGGGGTATGCCGTGATCCCCCGTCTTCACGATGGAGGCGGTGACGTAGTGCGCTTTGTCTGCAGCTGCCTTCAGCTGGGCCAGGAGCCATTTGAGCGTGTCCTGGTGCGTAGTTGCCAGGCCCTCCACGTTCTCCAGCAGGAACGTCTTGGGGAGGCCAGCCCGCAGATACTTCACGATATGTGGTAGCACATTTGCCCGGTCATCTTGAGCGCCGCCATTGTTACCGGCACACGAAAATGGCTGGCATGGAAAACCAGCTGAGTACACGTCCACCTGGCCCAGGCTCTTCATGGCCGAGAGGTCCCGCTTGGTGAGATCTGGGAAAAACCTGGTCTCACCGTTGGCGTAGTTCTCCTTCCATAATTTTAGCACCGTTGGGTCGCTGTCGCTCGCGGCGAGGCACTTGTGCCAGACTCCCAAGCCAGACAGTGCATGACTAATCGATTGAATGCCTACACAATCGTCGATGGTGGTGATTGTCGGACCTGCCACTGCGCCTCGTGGAGACCGGCTCCTCTCACGCCCCCTGGGTGCTGATTGGTGCGAAGCAGTAGTTGGCCTAAGTGGGACGAAACCGCATCTGAGTTCTTGGTCTGACCACTGGCTTAGAATGCGCTGGCATCTTGACCACGCGCCTAAACATATGGAAGTTGATCCAAAACGGCCGTTGTGCATATGAGATGTGCTGGATATTATGGGGGATACTGAAACATGGTGCCGGTATTGATGATCACACATGTATTTGCTCGCTTTAGAAAACGCCGATGATGGAGCACGGTGCTATGTGCTGACAGCGGCGTCAATATTGGGGGGAATGGGCCTCTGCCCTGACCCACATGCGCGGCCGGCGTTGAGGCGGAATCACCTCCCCATTGCGCGAGAGCATTATCCGGGGGGGGGGGCCGGATGGCCCACGAGAGTGCCTCGAGAGAGCCATTAGTGTCATTCCATACACATGTAGAGTAGAAGCTTTGGGCGCCAGATGGTCCGAGAAGCCCCCAGCACACATCGCCGGCACCAACAATCAAACAGCACGCGCCACCAACGACAAAAGCCGCACAGCAAACACCACCAGCAACACAACTCACATCTCACACCACCAACAAATCACACCGCACACACCACCGTACAAACATCACAGCACACACCGCCAGCACGGGGGGGGCCGTGGAATCCGCATCCCTGGACTCGCCCCAATGCCGCTCGGGGGCTGCCTGGGTCGGGGTTTGGACCCTCGGGCTCGGGGCCAGCAGTCATGATGCCCCCCGCGGTAGAGCATCCTCAGGCCCTCCAAGACACCCGAAGACGCCTCCCAGATATGCCTCAGACCGAATGGAGCTGCGGGGCCAGGCGCGGCGGCGGGATGCGCCAGAGGCCATGAGAGACGGAACGCGAGATGCAACGCCGAGTGGCCTAGAGGAAGGAGGAAGAAGAAGGTGGCGAACAGGAGAATGTGGACATGAAGTAAGCGAGTCGCCACGTCATTCGTTGTCTCTGAGCAAAGCCCAAACTAAATGCGATCGAGCGCCGCCGCGGGAGCGGCAACCAAAAATATAGAACGCAAGCGGATGTTAGGAGCCCGTCCGACTGAGAGACAGAAGCGACGCCTTCTGCAATACGGCCTTAGGCCAGGTCGGTGGGCCCACCCTCAGGCCCCATCATCATGCCCCTCCCTGCCATCATCATCATCATCATCATCATCATCATCATCATCATCATCATCATCATCATCATCACCACCATCATCGTCATCATCACCATCATCAGAGTGAGGGGGCCGAACGGTCAGTCACTGTCCCTGGGTGCGTGGCTGAAGTGGGATTCCGTTATGCGGATTATCGTTGTTGTTGTAGTTGATGTTGTTGTCGTGGTTGATGTTGTTGTGGTAGTAATTATTTGTTGTTGTTGTTGTTGTGGTTGTTGCTGTCGCTGTTGATGTTATTGTTGGTGTTGTCGTTGCTGCTGTTGTTGTTGGTGTTGCGGCTGGCTTTGCTGTTGTTGTTGTCGTTGCCGTTGTTGTTGTTGTTGTTGTTGTTGTTGTTGTTGGTGCTGTTGTTGTTGTTGTTGTTGTCGTAGTCGTTGTTGTCGTCGTTGTTGTTGTTGTCGTTGTTGTCTTGTGTTTGTTGTTGCTGGGGTTGTTGTTGTTGTTGTTGTTGTTCTTGTTGCGGTTGTTGTTGAATTTTGTTTGTCATTGCATGGCGTCGAACCACCAGCGACCCATCCCGCGACCCACCCCGCGACCCATCATCGCCCTCCTCCTTGATATCTCATCCTTTCTAGCTCGGGTAAGTGCTCGTCCTGACCTTCTGTTTCTCGCCCACATCTTCGTCGTGCCACCATCTCTTCGCTGCAGGCTCTAAGAGGCAGAGCCAACTGTCTTCGTCGCTTCAGAAAGCACCAGAGTCTAGAGGTACATAAACACATCTGGCGCACGAAAAACAGCGACTCATGCATCTGCTTTGCCTTGCAGCTTCGCGCGCAGTGAAGCACACCTGCGTGCCGTCGCCGCCTCGATTCCTCACTGCCAGTAGGTTGCGATGCCTAGCTCGAAATCGCCGTGCCCAGCGATTGGCCCAGGCGAGTTGAATGCAAAATCGCATTGCTTGAAATATGGAAGAAAATTGGCTCGCAGTCTGAAGGTGGGGCGCCGTGCCTTCCGAAAACGCAGGTGCTACGTTTGTTTATGTTTTGTTCGTTGCGTGCGTCGCTATGGTCATGGCTCCTAACGCTTGCACATGGGCCAAGGCTACCTACGCTGCCTCGCCAACTTCATCCCCCGCAGTGCCCGAGGTCTCCCCTGGCTTCTCCCCGCCAGCGTCGAGGGCTTTCAGTAACTCGCTCAGCTTGCCAGCGGCGCCTCCCTCCGCGCCTGTAGCATCATCCTTGGTCATCTTGAGGGGCTTCTCGCCAGCTGTGCCCTTGGGGGCGGCGCGCTTCCGGGCCTTCTTCTTGGCCGCAGATTTCTCCTCCTCGGGGGCGCCTTCACCTTCGGCAGCGGTCGCCGCCGGGTTGCCTGCGAGGTCTGACACAGCCATGGGCTCGTACAGCTCCTCGCAGCTCTCCCTCGTCAGCGCAGCGAATACACGCTGGCACAGCCTCTTCTCGATCATCTGCGCGTGAGCTTCTGTGTAGCAGATCAACGTGCAGGGCTTCTTGAGCATTATCGACGCCATGGCGCAATTCTCGCTCAGAGGAGCGCAGTCCACCACGCCACTCGCACAAAAGGAATGAATGATTTCTTTGTAGAAGTCGACAGAGTTGGCGTGAAATGACACGTGCTCAATGTCGGTGGGCTTCCTCATCACGACATCCTTCGTCTTAGCCTGTCAGGCTCATCGTCATCCTCCATGTCATCATTCTCCCTCTCCTTTTTCATCTAACTACTCCTCTCCTTCCAGAACGTTCCTCCTATTATTCCTTCTCCTTCTCGTCCTCCTCGTCCTGATTGTCCTTCTCCTCCGCATCCTACTCCCCCTGGCCATCCTGATCCTCCTGATCCTCCTCCTCCTCCTCCTCCCCTCTCATTCGCAATGCATTTTAGCTTGGTGCCGCGCGGGCCTGAGTGCATCCAGCAGCCCGGCCACCTCCCTCTACCAGCGCGTCTCCGAGGAGTTGCCGCTTCTCCATCACGCTGAGGGTCCACTCGTCTGGGTCGCGCGGGTCCGTCGTCACCAGCGGGCCGATGTGGTTGTTGAGGTTGGAGCTGTTGGGGAACGTTAAGCGCGCCTTTGGAACGAGGTCCAATGGCTCCGAACTAATGGCCGTCATCAGCTCCACCACTGCGAATGCTGCTTCGTTCTCCCGAGACTTCCGTTTCTTAAGGCTGCTCTCTTCGTACGTCAGGAAGTACTTCGTCGTGGCCCTCTGCAGCCTTGAATCCCCCGTGCTGAAACACTTGTTGAACCCCTCGACGTTGTCAGTTTTAAAAGCGTCCAGAAATAAATAGATCGCCTTCGGGTGGATGCTGATCAGGTCGGGGTCAGCCTCCCAGTCGCCGTCCGTCATGATCTTCAGCAAACTCTGGACGCAGCGGGTCATGTAGTGCTGGCGGTGCACTGGCATCCTGATGTGCGGTTGCGTTTTGCACTGCCCCTCTTGCTTGCTGTTGTAGATGATGACCACCCTGTCCGAGTTAGCGGCGTCGACCGCTTTGCAAGCAGGTGTCTCTTTCACAGCAGAAATCATGGCCGCCTCGTTGGGGCCCGGAGCCACTGTGCGGACGAAGGTGGAGACGAGCTGGTTTGCGTGCTGCCACCAGCGGGCCTTCGCCTCGTCGTATTCGTCGTCCACGTACATTCCATCATCAGACTCGTCAGCCTGCTCAGCATCCTTCTTGTCGGCGGCCTCCTCCGGCTTGTCGTCCTTCCCCTCGTCGGTGGACTTGGCGGCGCTCGCGTCCTCCGAGATCGCGTCATGGACCTTGACCGCGCAGACATACGTTGTGCGAACCGCCCCGAATCCACTCACTCAACCCCGCCAGCCCTCTACGAGGGTCTCAGAAATCCCAAGTTGGCCTCCAAGACGGCTCAAGATGACTCAAGGTCCCCCCCAAGATGTTGGAGCCTCTAAGAGGCGGTCCTGGAGCACCTAAGAGGCTCCAAGACCGCCTCAAGACGGCCCCGAGAGGCCTCGGAGCACCCCCAACAGAGCCCCTAATTGGCCCAAATCCTTCAAAACCTCAGTAAGGGAAATCCACGCATTTGGTCTTCTCGCCTTCTCGCTTCCGATGGCCTTCCGAAGCCTCAAATGGCCCAAAACCGAAGCCCAAGAAGCCCCCGATACGGCCCCAAGAGCATTCCAAGAGGGCCCCAATAGGCGATTTTAAAAGCTCTAGAGGGGCGCCGGCAAGGAAGAATCCCTCCTTCTTTTGATTGATGTCCAACGAGATGGTCTCAACATGGCCCCCAGGGCTCCAGAGAGAGCCCCAAGAGGCCCCCAAGGGGCCCCAGAGTGGTGCCTAAACGGCCCCAAGAGGCCTCAAAAGGCACCCGCCAACGGCACCCAAGACGCCCCAAGGGGCCCCCGAGACCGCCGAGGGGCATCCGAGACGGCCTCAGAGGCCTCCAAAGGAGCCCCCAAACATCCAAGAGGCCTCTGGCCTTCTGCTCGCCCTCCTCCTCCTCCTCCTCCTCCTCATCCTCCTCGCCCCCCTACCTCCTCGCCCTCAACATCAGCGACAACAGCACCAACACCACCAACAACAACAGCAACAACACCACCACCAACAACAACCACAATCACAACCACCACAACACCAGCCATAACAACACCACCAGCAACAACAGTCACGCTGACCTTACCATTAACAGCACCAACAGCAGCATCCACATCAATATCAATGACAACAACTACACAAACACCATCAACAACAACAACAGCAACAGCAACAGCAACAACCTTTCCACCATCAACACCAGCAACATCAACCGACCTGCTGCAAGTCGGTCCCGATCTGGCCATAGCCGAAGGTGTCCTTGACAGACTTGCTCTGCTTCAGGCACTGCTTGATGACGGGGTCGTACGCTCTGCCGTAGATGAGTGAGCTCGCGAAGCTGTCGAAAAGTCTCTCCGCGCGGTTGAAGTCGTGCTTGTGGCTGAGGTCTGGAGCGCCAGCGTGCTTGGCGAACTCGTTGTCCATGAAACCCTCCTTGCTGCGGAAATGTTTTGGCGATCTGAGGTAGGACCGCATGAGGCTCTTCCTGCTCGCGGTGAAATTGAAACTGTTCAGCTCCTCGTCCAGCAAGTGAGCAAATAGATCTTTCTTGAACGCAACTACGTCGACGTCGGTTACCCGGCCCCTCGTCTGCATCTGTTTGGAGCCAACGCTGTCGCGCGTGATGTTCCTTGAAATGTCATCCCCGACCCATGCTTTGATCGAGAAGAGGGGGGGTGGGATGAGAGGGGGCACGGGGGGGATGCGGAGCGAGATATCCCAACCCCCGCTTCCCACTACTAATCCGACTCCCCGCCTGACTCGATCAGGGCATTTGGGGAATATGCAATCCTGGCCCGGAACTGGTCTAAGATCATTTCGAACATCCAGCCGATTGCGTCGGGGTGCTTGCCGGCCTTGAGGCACATGAGGTAGATTGCCAAGACAGATTGGAAGGGGCCCTCCGAACCATACATCTCTTCTGACTTTTTCACAACTGCCTGGCAATTCGTATCCGCGCAAAGGTGCCACTTGGTTGCAATGGCGCTCGCGTTCTCCAGCAAGTTCTTTGAAATCTTTTCAGATTTGGTCGCCCACTTGATTCCCTTGTAGAACTTGTAGAGCGCATCGGTGGTGATCTTGCCGCTCTGCTTCTCCAGAGCCTTGCGCTGGCCAATCACCATCAGTAGGAGCGCCAAGGGTGAGCGCTGGCTGACTACGCCGCGCTGCGTCCATTCTTCCCGAAGAACGGTCGATTCTTTGATCATCTTGTCCACGCTGCTGATGCTGTGAAATACATAGTTGACGTTCCGGAAGGCATTCACCCATCTCTTGGTTATATCGTCCGACTTCTTATTAGACGGCAGGCTGAAGTAGGTGTCGACTGCCCACAAGAGCGCGTGCACCTGCTCTTCTGGTGAGATCCTGTGCAATGTGCCTCGCTTCGTCGTCAATATCTCTTTGGCGTCCTCGGGCTTCTCCAAGGCAATGTGTACCGTGATCCTGGTGGTACCCGTCGGCGGAACTCTGAACGAGTGGTCCTGCATGTCTCTGATACCCTTGACGTTGTAGGGCAAGCACACCTGGGGCCGCCAGCGGATGTTGTGCAAGTACAGTGAGCCAGTCCCCTCAGCTTGCTCGCCGCGCTCCAAGATGATCTGGACGTCTTTCGGCACGATCGGCTGTCCGTGGCCTCCCTCCGAGGCCACCTGGGAGTCCAAGGCCGCGATGTTGTCCAGCTCTTCAATGCCCTGCAGGCGCTGCATCATCGCTTCAAAGTCGCCCACGTACTCCGCGTTGAGAGCCTCGTCGCCATGCAGATTCCTCAGGCCCGTTGCCGAAGCAGCGTCGGGTGCCTTCCTGGCAACCCTCTTAGGCGCCATCGTGCCAAAATTGAGGCTCGCTTCCGGGGTCCGGCTGCCTCTGCAGGTTTGAGCCGACATGGTTTCGGTCAGACTGTTGAAGTTGGATGCGTCTGTTCTGTTCGCCTCGCATTGCCTTGCAATGCCTTCCCTTGCCTAGCCTCGCCTTGGATGGGTCACCTTGCCTTGCCTTGCCTTACCTTGCCTCACCTTGTACTGCCGTGCCTGACCTTGCCTTGCCTTGCCTTGCCCTGGTTACTTCGGCCCATCGAGAGCAACGTGACGCATGGGACGATAGCAAATCCATCTATACAGCTTTCATTGCACACTTGTTCCTCTCTTTCCTGTCCCACTGATGCTTCAGTTGCTGCTGCTGCTGAAGTGGCCTCGTCCTGATCTTCCTCCCGCTTCTCCCTGCCCCACCTCCCCGACTGCTCCTCGTCCTCTTCGCCTCCTGCCTCCCCTTGCTCCTTCCCGCCCTTGCCTCGGTCATCGTTTCTCCCTGTTCTTATGATTTCCCATTTCTCCCCATCCTCCTCGCCTCCACCCTACGCCGGTCTCATCCCCCTCCTCTTCCTGAGATGGATCGCCCCTGCTCCCCCTCTTCTTGCGACGCCTTGCCCCTCAAAGCGTATGATGGTTCCCTCGGGGCTGTGTCCAGGAGCCACTTCCTCCTCCAGCTTCTTCTCGTAACCTCTCTCCCCTCCGCTTCCTACCCCCCCCCCCTATCCAGGCATTGTTGTCCATTGTTTTGCGCCGTGTATATGCGTGCCCGTGCATCTCGCCAAGAGGGGGCCGAACTGATTCACGCCGCCCATGGGCTCCCAAGTGCGCCCCAGGACTGCCCCAAGGGGCGCTCAGGAGCCCCCGAGACGCCCCCAAGAGGCTCCCAAGAACCCCAAGATGCCTCGAGGATGCACCCAAGACGCCCCAAGAGACCTCGGCGAGAAGGTCAAACTCACTAATGTGACAAAAAGGTTTGGCCACACGGCGCGCCTCGATGGCGCAGCTCGGTCGGGCGAGCGCCGACCCCTCCCTCGTCGCGGGCCCCCTCCCTCGCACGCGTGGTTTTCCAGGGCTGGGGGGGCGGGCCTGGGCCTGACTTTCGGAGTCAAAATGCCGCCCTGGGCGTCAAAATGCCCTCCTCCCCGGGCGGGCGGGCGGGAGGGCCTCAAAATGCCGCCCTGGGCGGCAAAAAGCCCTTCACTTTCAGAGTTACCCTCACTTTTAGAGTTACCCTTTTCTGAAAGTAAGGAGCTCCTCGTGCGCCCCTCATATGGGGGAACGCACCCGGGAGGGGGGGGGGCGGGCCGGGGCTCGCGGAGAGGCCCCCAGGCGCCCCCCTGGGCCATCCTGGGCCCCTCCTGGGCCCGACTCGGGGCCCTCTCAGGAGGGCCTCCTCGGAGGCGCAGTCCCATCTGGGGCCATATTGGGCCTTTCCTGGGCCCGCTTCGGGCCCAGCCTGTCGGGGACCCTCTTCCCTCCTGGGGCACTTGCGCGTGGCTCTGGAAGAAACCTAACAGCGAAGAGGAACAACTGAAGTTTCGCTTCAGACATCCTCAGATACCCCCTCTCTGGAAGCCGAGAGGGAAGCGCAAAATTCCAAGCAGGGCTAAAATTCCGCAGTGTCCAGCCTTGCCCCGGTGCTCCCTCCACGCTCCCCGGCCCCCGTACCTTCTCCTCCGTCGTGCTCCCCCCGCCGTCCGTCCCCCAGCCCCCCACTCCTTATTCCGACCGTGCGCCACCCCCCTCCTCCCCCCGCTCTCCCCTGCGCCTCCCTCCTCTTGCCCCTGTCCTCTTCGCACCCTCCCCGCGCCCCCGCGCCCTTCTCCCCTCACCTTATTCCAACCGTGCACCTGCCCCCCTGCCCCTCCCATTCGCCCCGCTCCCTTCGCCCCGCGCCCCCCCCTTCCCTCCCGCGCCCCACCCGCCTTTCCCGAGCCCCCCTCCCCTTATTCCGACCGTGCGCCCCTCCTCTCCCGCACCTCCCTTGCGCCCCTTTCCCCTTGAACCCGTGCTCCCCCCGCGCTCCCCGGACTCCCGCGCCTGCTCCTCCGCTCTGTGCCCCCACCGCCCTCCCCGGCCCCACCCCCCCCGCCTTATTCCGACTGCGCGCCCTCCCCCCGCTCCTCCCCCACCGTCCTCCCCGGCCCCCCTCCCCTTATTCCAACCGTGCGCCCTCCCCCGCCCCTCCCCTGCGCCCCCCTCCTCTTGCCTCCGCGCCCCCCGCCTTCCCCGGGCCCCCTCTGGCCTCCGATTCCGACCGTGCCGGACCTCCCCCCGCTCCTCCCCTGCGCCCCTCTGCCGTTGCCCCCGTGCTCCTCTCATTCTTCCCGGGCCTCCGCGCCTTTTCCCCCGTGTTTCCACCGCCCTCCCCGGGCCCCCCTCCCCTTATTCCGACCGTGCGCCCTCCCCCCTGCCCCTCCCCTGCACCCCCCTCCTCTTGCCTCCGTGCCCCCCGTCTGCCCGGATGCCCCTTCCCCTTATTCCGACCGTGCGCCCCCCCCCCGCCCCTCCCCTGCGCCCTTCTCCCGATGCCTCCGTGCTCCCCCCACGCCCCCCGGGCTCCCCCGCCCTGTCCCCCGTGCTCCCCCCGCCTTCCCTGGGCCCCCCCTCCCTTTATTCCGACCGTGCGCCCCCCTTCCACCGATCCTCCCCTGCGCTTGTTTCCTCTTGCCCCCGTGCTCCCTCAACGCTCCCCGGGCCCCCCGCGACCTTCTCCTCCGCGCTACCCCCGCCGTCCCGAATCGGCCTCCCCTTATCCGACCTTGTGAGCCCTCCCCCTGGCCCCCCCCTCATGTGCACCCCCCGTCCTCCCGGGAACCCCTTTCCTGCCCTATTCAGGACCGTCGCCCTCCCCACGCTCCCCCACTGCGCCACCCTCTTCGACCCCAGTGCAACCCGTTCTTCCCCGGAGGCACACTGGGGCCTTTATTTCGACCGTGCGCCTCCCCCACGCCGCGCCCTCCCATTAGCGCCCTCTCCCGTTGCCCCAGTGCCCCCCCCATTCTTCCCAGGGCCTCCGCGCCTTCTCCCCGTGCTTTTCCCCCCCCCCCCGCCCTCCCCGGGCCCCCCTTCCCTTATTCCGACCGTGCGCCCCCTCCCCCCGCTCCTCCCCTGCGCCCCTCTCCCCTTGCTTCCGTGCTTCCCTGCGCGCCCCCACCCTCTCCGGGCTTCCGCGCCTTCTCCCTCGTGCTCCACCCGCCTTCCCCGGGCCCCCCTCCCCTTATTCCGATCGTGCGCCCTCTCCCCGCTCCTTCCCTGCGCCCCCCTCCCCTGGCCCCCGTGCTTCCCCCACCCTCTCCGAGCTTCCGCGCATGCTCCCTCGTGCACCCCCCGCCTTCCCGGGGCCCCCCTCGCCTTATTCGACCGTGCGCCTCCCTCCCCCCGCCCCTCCCCGCCCTCCCCTGCGCCCATCTACCCCGCGTGCTCCCCCCGCTCTTCCCCGGCCTCCGCGCCTTCTCCCCCGTCTCCCCCCGCTCTTCACGCTTCGCGTATCCCAGCCAGCCCATCCCAAAGCGGCCGCCAGGCGAGTTGCCTTGCTGAGGGAGGCGCAGCAGCAAGCAATCCAAAAGTGAACCACATCCGTCTTGGAGGCCCCTTCCCTCCCCCCTCCCTCCCCCTCCTCCTCTTCCTCCCGACGACGACGACGACCTCGACGACCACGACGACCGCGACGACGACCACGACCACGACCACGACCACGACCACGACCACGACCGCGACGACCACGACGACCACGACGACCACGACGACCACGACGTCGACGACGACGACGACGACGACGACGACGACGATAACGACGACGACGACGACGACGACGACGACCACCACGACGACCACGACGACCACGACGACGACGACGACTTTGACGACGACGACGACGACGACGACCGACGACGACGACGACCACCACCACCGACGACCGACGACCACGGGGCCCCCGAGACGGCTTCAGGATGCAGAAAACATCGGGACCGCTCCTTCGTCATGGTCCGTCGCCGGCCTGTCGGGGCACTCGCTTGCCCACCCCCCCCCTACCGGACCTTGGCGCCATTGTCATCTGCCGTTTGTCTCGCATCCGCGATTGTATGATCCTTGGCACGCGTGCCCCTTGTTATTTGGCCCGGTTTGATTATCCCCTTTTCTTTCGTTTATTTCGTCGAACCCCTTTTTCCTGCTGAGCGCTCCGCCAGGAGTCGCTTTGCCAGGGGCCCGAGCCCCCCCCCGACAGGCCTCCCACAGGCGGAGGGCCAGGCATGCTCCTCTTTTGCGCACGGCGAAGCGCCGGCCGGGAAAGGCACGCCTGGGCACGCCCGGAGGCCGCAAGGACACTCCGCGCCAGTGCAGCGCTTCGTGGCCCAATAGGGGGCTTCACCGAAGCAGGTATTCACAATTACGGTACCCACAACTGCATATGTTTGGGACCTTCGCCAGGATCATTTCTTGTTCTGGAATGGATTCGCTCCAGTGCCCTCTGCGCCGCGCGAATCGCCATGCGACCTGCCTGTTTCCATTGTGTCCCGTGGGGAGGCGCATGTCCAGGTGTCGGCGGCCTCTGGTTCGGGGACTGCTGGGGAAGATCATCCTCGTTCTGTGAGGAAGGCTGTCCCCCTCGAAGAGGACCAGCGCCCCCTCCTGCCAGCAGTCGGAGAGCTGTCGGACGACTCCGACTGAGCTGTTCTTTTAAGCTTGCCACAGCTTGCATTCTTAGTGGCGCCGCCGACGGCAAAAAAAACACGAGCAGGAGGAGGAGGGCCTCCCCATCCTCCCTCCTCCCCGTCCTACCTATGGTAGTGGTGGTGGGAAGTCGGCCCACCATTTTGTCACGACGTAAGCGTGTCCGGGAGGGTGTCTGGGAGACGGCGAGGGAGGGCGGCCCCTTGCCTTGAAGCACCGCGCGCCGCTCCGGCACACCGCCGCCTTTCAGGGCCGCAAGGGCGCGGAGGGCGCCGAGAAGAGGCGCGCGCGGCAGCAGCAGCTGCAGGAGTCGAGGCCTGGGCCGGGCGCCGCGGGCGGGGCAGCGAGTCACACTGCTGGGATTCTAAACCTCTTAGGTGGGATCAGAGCGGATGTGGTCGGGGGATCGAGCATGTGGAGCCCGACTAGCTTCACGTCGACGTCGCCGATGCACCGCCCACGTCGGCGATGCAGCTCGTTCCTCCGACACCTTCTACTCGGACCCCATCTAGGAGGCCTCTGGGGATGGGCGCGGGAGTTGCCGAGGAGGGGAGGGCGGCTGGCCAGCGGGTGCCAAGGCCTGGCACGAAGGACGTAGGTACGAAACGAATGGGTGCGGTGCCCAGCAGCAGTTCTTGTTCGTCTGGGGCAGGTCTCGCTGTCCGCGCCGCCGCGGACGCTGTCCACTTGAGACAGAAGGCGGCCTGCGCAACAGCGGCCGCTGTCGGTTTTGGACAACATCAGTTGTTGGGTCTCGTATCCATCTTTTCCGTACCCATTTCGGGCGTTTTAAAAAGGTGGGGTATATTTGGCAGATTTTAGCGCACAAATTGAGTACAGATGCCTCAAGTAGCTCAGGGGGGGTCCGGGCTAAGAGGGCACCGCCCACTTCGCTGAGTTATCTTACCCCCTCTGAGCCGCTTGGGGCACCTGTAACTTACTTATACGCTCGGTGATGCCACATATAACCCATCTTGGCATCCACCGATCATTCCCTTATCCTCTTAGCAACCTTCGCGCCGATCCCAGTAGACGTGCGTCCTATAGGGACTATCTTCCCAGATCTCCGACGATCAGATTGTCTAAATCTCAGTGTTTTCCCTAGATTTCCCCCTCGATTGCTTTCGCCACAGTTGGCCCTGGACACGTCCAGCCGTGAGCCCGACCGTTTGTTGGAACCAGCTCGCCGCAGACCACATTGAACAGATCTTCTCGATTTCGGCCTCTGAGGCTAGGGCTATGAAGGATGGTGCCCAGGGCTATGAAGGACCCAGGGCTTCGGATGAAGGACCCAGGGCTATGAAGTACCCAGGGCTATGAAGGGCTATGGTGCCCAGATCTTCTAGATTTCGGCTTCTTCTCGTTCTCGGGCCCAGGGCTATGAGGGATGGTGCCGGTGCGACGAGCTGCCCCCAGGGGGGGCCGCGGATGGAACAGCACGTGTCGGAGGAGACCTCGGCGCACAGACTTGCACATAGGTTTCGTGAAGCTGCGTGGCGCGAGCGCTCGTGGCGCGATGCTGCTGGCCTCGTGGGCTGGGGGGGGAGGAGGAGGGGGTAGGAGGTAGGAGGTAGGAGGAGAGGAGGAGGCGGGGAGGAGGAGGAGGAGGGGGAGGAGGAGGAGGAGGAGGGGAGGAGGGGAGGAGGAGGAGGAGGAGGAGGAGGAGGAGGGAGGAGGAGGGGAGGGGGAGGAGGAGGGTCACTGCGTGCACGGCCGGGCCGCGCACGTGCCTCTCGTGGTTTGGGCTCCCGGCGTCTCGCTGCCCCAGGGAGCCAAGGCTATAGCACGCTGGGGCTCTGCCGGGCCCAGCCAGAGAGAGCGAAGAAGGGATCACGCGTCGATCGTCACGCTTCGTCAGAGCCCCGAATCATCAGGGGTAACTCGGGTCAGGGATAACTCGGGTTCGTTTTTCGGGAATCCGAGCCCGAGTTACCCCGGACCCGAGTTACCCCGGATAACTCGGGCGTCCAGAGCCCCGAATCATCAGGGGTAACTCGGGTCAGGGCTAACTCGGGTTCGCTTTTTCGGGAACCCGAACCCGAGTTACCCCGGACCCGAGTTACCCCGGATAACTCGGGCGTCCAGAGCCCCGAATCATCAGGGGTAACTCGGGTCAGGGCTAACTCGGGTTGGCTTTTTCGGGAACCCGAACCCGAGTTACCCCGGACCCGAGTTACCCCGGATAAGTCGGGCGCCCAACTTCGGGGACAGGGGCATGGCTGCCATACCATGTTTTGCTTGTCCGACCGCCACGTAGATGGCGTTCAACACCTGTCGTCCGGTGGTCCCAGAGCGGCCTCGGGCCAGCCTCGGATGGCAGCGGATGTGGCGCGGATGGCTGGGCCAGGGGGGCAAAGAAGGCTCCCTATATCCAGCAGGCACCTTCCATAAGAGACCGACTCGCCTCTGTGTGCCTCACGGAAATACGTCTCTTTTCCCCCGATAGCCCACCACGTTGCCACGAACTCCTGCGCACTCTGGGAAGTTCAAAGTTCAACGCACAATGTGCCTCTACTCTTCTTAGAATTGTTCAAGTGGTGTACGCCATTCTGCGACCCCAGCGGAGTAGAGACGTCCAGCGCGTTCGGTAGGCTATGTTGGAGCTGGAGTGGCTGGGTGTTCTTTTTACGCCCGCGAGGGAGGAGGATAATGATGGCGAGGAGGAGGAGGAGGAGGAGGAGGAGGAGGAGGAGGAGGAGGAGGAGGAGAAGGAGGAGGAGGAGGGGAGAGCAACGTCTGACAGACTTTTCTGCCTGCAGGCTTTCAGGCTCTCAGGAGGAGAGGGCAACGTCTGACAGACTCTTCTGCCGTCGGGCTTTCACCAGGAGAGGTTAACGTATGGCAGACTTTTTCGCCTTCAGGCGTTCAGCCTTTCAGGAGGAGGAGGAGGAAGGCAGAGGAGGGGGATGATGAGGAGGAGGACAAGGAGAAGGAGGGGGAGGGGAGGGAGGAGGAGGAGGAGGAGGAGGAGGAGGAGGAGGAGGAGGAGGAGAGGAGGAGGAGGAGGAGGAGGAGGAGGAGGAGGAGGAGGAGGAGGAGGAGGAGGAGGAGGAGGTACGACCTATTCATTCGCAGGCTGCACCTGACATCCTCGCGCCAAGACGTCCTCGCGCCACGGCTCTCCTGCCGGGGGCACGCGCTGGCTCCCGCGGCCTCCGCGCGCAGGCAGGCGCTCTACGCGGCCGCCAAGGGCGGCGACACGGAGGCCGTGCAGGGCGCGCTGCGCGCCGCCGCGGCGCGCATCTCGGAGGACTCGAAGGCCACGCGGCCCCCCAGCCTTCCCCATCAGCATCATCATCATCATCATCATCATCATCATCATCATCATCATCATCATCATCATCATCATCATCATCATCATCATCATCATCATCATCATCATCATCATCATCCTCACCATCATCATCATCCTCATCATCATCACCATCGTCATCGTCATCGTCATCGTCATCGTCGTCATCATCATCATCGTTGTCCGTTTCAGCATCAGCATCAGCATCATCATCATCATCAGCATCAGCATCAGCATCTTTCGGCGGCCAGCCCTTCACGTGCTGCTGGCCCGCCATCAGGCGATGGTGGGGGGGACCGTCTTGGACCTGGGGAGGGTGGACCTGGTGCAGATCGGCGCTCCCTTGTCGTATAGATCCCAGAGCTGGGCCCTGAATTTGCCGTCCAGTCGGAATACCCACAAAGTCAAGGACCGTCGGCGGCGAGCCCCGGGGGGCAAGTCAGACGGGGCGGGCCTTCTCAGAAGGCTCGGACGTCCCCCCCGGGGCTTTCCGAGAGGTTGTTCGACGCAACGAAGAGCCTTCCAGAGGGCCGAGGGCCTTCCGAGAAGCTGCGCCGCCTAGTGAGACGGCCTTCTCCTTCTCACTTCCCACCTTCGCTCGCCGCCGAAGTTTGCTCATCGTCGGCATCCCCTTTCTACTCCTCCGTGTCGTCCCATGACTCCACCTCTTCGTCTTCCCCTCCCTTCTCGTCCTTCACGTTGTCTTCCTCCTCGGCCTCCCCGCCCCATCCCGTTCGTAGCCGTTTGGCTCAAGCCATTTTGCCTCAAGCCATTTTGGCTCAAGCCGTTTCGACTCAGCGAGTGGTTGGTCAGTGCTCCCCGCACCGAATGCCGCCGCACACGGAGCCCGTTGCCGCAGGGGCCAAGGGCCGCAGCCGTTCGCCGAGTAGGGCGGCCGTGGCGGAGCCCGAGATGATGGATGGCCACGGCGGCAAGGAGCACCATCATCCTCATCCTCATCCTCACCGTCTTACCTGTCCTCCTCCTCCTCCTCCTCCTCCTCATCGTCATCATCATCATCATCATCAATCTGTTTTCCATTCGAAGACAGGAGTTGCAAGACGGGCTTCACTTACGACGACCTCATCTGCCTGCCCGGGCAGATCAGCTTCGGCGTTCATGAGGTCGTGTTGGAGTCTAGCTTCACGATGGTGATCAAGCTGAAAACTCCGATTATCTACAGCCCGATGGACACCGTCACCGAGCACAAGATGGCGATCGGCATGGCATTGGAGGGGGGTATCGGCGTCATCCACAACAACTTGACGATACAGGAGCAGGCGAGCGAGGTAAGCATGGTAAAGAAATACAAGAGCGGGTTCATTGCGGACCCTGTCTGCATTCAGCCACGATGTTGCTGTCGGATATCGACAAGCTGGCGGCGTCCTGCGGCTTCACTGGTTTCCCCGTGACGCACGACAGAAAGATGAACTCGCGGCTGTTGGGCCTTGTCCCTTGCATGGACACGGACTTCGTCAAGAACAGGGTGGGGGTAACAGCGAGCCAAATCATGACGGACTTCAAGGATCTGGTGACTGCTCGGGAGGGCGTTGGGTCGCAGGCCGCGAAAGAGATTATCCGCAAGACCAAGAAGGGCAAGCTGCCCATCGTGAGCGAGGACGGTCGCCTCGTCGCCCTCATCGCCCGTGCGGACCTGAAGCAGAGCGCGGATTTCCCCCTCGCCACCAAGGACGCCAAGGGCCAGCTCCGCGTTGCCGCGAGCATCGGCACCCGCCCCTGCGACCGCGACCGGGCCAGGGCCCTGGTGGATGCCGGCGTGGGCGCCATCGCCGTCGACAGCAGCCAGGGCGACGTCAGCACGACATCATCCGGTGGATGAAGCAGGAGTTTCCTGACCTCCAGGTGGTCGCTGGCGACGTGGTCACGAAGAGGCAGGCCAGGCGCCCCGTCGACGGCGGCGTTGACGGCCTCCGCGTCTGCATGGGCAGCGGCCCCATCTGCACCACGCAGGGGCCCCATTTGCACCACGCAGGGGCTGCGCGCGCGACCGGGCGAATGCCTCTGCGGTGTACAGCGTGGCGGAGTTCGCGAAGGAGCGGGGGGTGCCCATTGTCGCGGTCGCCCGTCGTGTGGCCAGTGCCTCCTGGCCCATGGGGCTGCTGGAGGTACTCTTGCGGTCAGTGAGGTCTCCTTCACTGCCAGCAGTGGTTTCCCAGCCGCCGCTGCTGTGTTCTTTTTCTCCAAGGCTGTGCGTGCGCTGAGTTAAAGAATGCCGTCATGTGTGGTCGCCTCCTGGCCAGCACCGAGGATTCCCCCGGCGAGTACTTCTTCGCGGAGGGGGTGCCAGCGCTCGAAGAGTTACCGCGGAATGGACTCCCTGGAGGCTATGAAGAAGGGTTCCGACGACCGCTACTCTGGCAGCTCGAGCGTCGTCAAGGTCGCTCAGGGCGTCTCGGGTAGCGTGCAGGACAAAGGCTCGCTGCGCAGGTATGTGCCGTACTTGGTTCAAGGCCCACCGCGTGGCCTACAGGACATCGGCTCCAAGAGCGTCGAAGAGCTCCGCGAGCAGCTCTACAGCGGCCGCCTGCGCTTCGAGTTCCGCAGTGCGGCCGCGCAGCGCGAAGGCGGTGTCCATGGCCTACGCAGCTTCGACCGGGAGCTCTTCGGCGGAGCCCAGGCTCGAGCGCGCTTCTGCACATGCCGCCACGTCGGCGTGGACAGGGCCCGCTAAGGGGGGGCGGAGCTTGGTGATCGGGCGGCGCATCGAGGTTGCACAGCGAATGATTCGGCAGTTCTTTAGTTTCTAAATCTTTTGGGCGCTGGTTTTCGACAGCTGGCAGACAGCTGCCGACGTTGGCTCCCTTCATCGGGGGGCCTGGCCACCGCATTAGTCCTCTTGTACGCGCAGCTTGCCGAGGAAGCAGTCAGCAGCTGTGCCGCGCGCCCGTAACCCAGGGCCGTTGTAGACCAGAGCCAACATCGCATGGTTCACTCCCCTCCCTATCCCGTCAGTTGCGGGGCTTCTCCTGTTTGCTTTTTGTTACTTCCCCTCCACCGCCTTCCCATGTCCCTTTTCCACAGAAAGAATGCGCAGATCAGAGCAGTCGTCGGAGACGTCGCTGTCGTCGTGGTCGTGGCGGTGGTCGCAGTCGGTCCCCGATCATCGACAATGATGTAACTTTTCAGACCTGGCGTGTTGCTCCAATTTCGGTCTCCGGGGCCCGCTATTGGGCCCTGGGGCCGTAATAAATAGACCAAGGACGGAATCATCCCCGGGGAAGGGGTCGGATTTTTTCGGGGAGCGGATCGCACAACACGCATCGGACGATATTTGGGTCTTGTTGCCGTGGTTGTCGGCGCCGTCGTTTGTTGTCGTCACGGGGGGATGCTGCTCGTCGTTCTTGTGGTGTTCTCGTCGGCGTCGTCTGTCTTGTGATTCGAGTCGGAGTCGTGGTCGGCGTCGCTCTCTGTCGTAGTCGTGGGCGGCGTCGTCCTTGTGTCAGCGTCCTCCGGGGAGGAAATGGGGAGGTGCGGAGGTGATCGGAGGCATAGAGGATGGCACCAATACGCATATCGGCGGTGTGCCTGCCTGTGGGAAGTTGATCCCGATCTCGGTGATGATGCTGATCGTAATCTGGCTACCTGGGCGGCGGAAGGATTACCACCAGCGCGAAAATCTCGGATCATCTGTCCCCTGTGGAGATTCCCCATGTGATGGTGTTCGTGCCCGTTTCAGGCATCCAGCGTCGTTGCTGTCGTCGCCTTGGTCGTCGGCGCCGTCATTATTTGTCATCGTGGTAGTGGTCGTCGGCGTTCTTGTGGTGCTCGTCGGCTTCATCAGTCTTGTGGTGGGGGTGTTTCTCGTCGCTGGTCTTGTCGTCGTCGTTTCGTCATCGTGATCGTCGTCGTCGTCGTCGTCGTCGTCGCCGCCGCGGAGGGTGGCGAGGGAGAGGCCGATGAGGGGTCAGGAGGGGTTCCTGGCCTCCAGTGGGCTTCCAGGGGGTCCTGGGGGCGGGGCCCAGGAGGAGCATTGAGCAGGCTCGTTCTGCTTCTCCGCCATCCAGCTCCCCAGCTCATCATCTCTGCTCCCTCATTCCTATCTTCATACCCGTCAGAATTGAACCGGGAAGTCGGATCGGATCGGAACGTGCGTCGGATCGGGTTGCATCGGCACGGAGTCGAAATCGCATCGGATCGGCTGCGTCATGATGCACAGCAGCGCCGTGCGAACATCGGGGTGCATCGGCTCGTCGGAGCAGCGACATCGAATCGGATCGAGCCAGCCAGAGTCGATGTCTGATCGGATCCATCGGCTCGACATGGTCCGTGCTTCCCCTCCCGCTCCCATCTTCTTCCTCCTCCTGCGGCCCGCCATCCCCTCTCTATTCACCCCGTACCTGTCTACAGGCTGTCAGCCGCAGCTCGCAAGCTCAAACAAATCAGGATATCGCGGAACATGCTTCCCCGCCACGTCCGCTTGGGTTGTCCAGATCTGTTGGTTCGTTTCGCGGTCAGCGCCGGGCGGACAGCGCCCAGGGCATCGACGACGACTCGAGCGGTCGGAGGGCGAGGGGATGTTGGAAGGGCGCCTGCGGGAGAGAATCGAAGGAGGGTGGCGGTCGGAGGGCGACGCATTGGACGTGGAGGAGGAGGAGGAGGAGGAGGACGACGAGGAGGAGGAGGAGGGAGAGTCGATGAACCCTCGCTTGGATTCGTCTTGGCCTTGATTCCCGATGTCTCACTGCACGACGCTGGCGGCAGCATCCAGGTGAGCTCTCCCATCCTTTCCCTTCGCCACACTTCCTCTCAGCCCTGGAGGAGGCTTGGACACAGATTGGCCTCGAGTTCCGACCGAACAACCGACAGGGGAGATGACGACGACGAGGTGCACGAGGAGGTTGAGGAGGTGTGGTGTGGGGGAGAGGCCACGTGGGAGTGCCTTGCTGTCGCCTCGCAGCTTAAATTTTGTGTGCGAACATTAGGAAATCGACCTCAGCCCCTACGACAATGGATTTTAGATGTCAACGTTTTGCAATTATGGCGAATGTGTGCGAATGTGCGTAGGTGTAGGCGCCCTGTAAGCGAGGCCATTGCCAACTGCCGCAGGGGTGGGGGGGGCGCCGCGCGCGCGCGGTCTAGTTAGTCTAGAGTTCCTCATGGGGGGGGCGGGGGCCGGTTTTCATGCGTTCACCGTGCACGCCAGGGCTCCCATGCTGTTCCGCGTTCTCTCTGAGCGGTTTCTCTCCGCTGAGCCTGCCGAGGTCATCCTGGAGGGTGGCCAGGGACGGCCGGCAGAGGCTCGTTCCCCCCACTCGGTCTGGGTCAGGGGCTGCGGCTCGCAGGCCAGGGGGTGTTTTGAATACCCCGCTCATGCTCAGACCTACGGTAGGTTTGCGTCGCGTCGACCAGCGGCGACCCCAGCGCGGGCGTTCAAGGTTGAACGCCGCCGGCGACCCAGAATCGATCGATGTTGAACGATCGGACGTTGCGGCAGTGGCCGATCGTTCAAGGTTGAACGATCCCTGCGGTGTCAAAAACCAACGCTGGGGTCGGCACGACACGAACCTGCCGTACTCAGGCTTGCATTCGGTCGTGCGGAGGGTGTGCGCTGTTGGCCACGCGCGTCGAATTGAGGCGCATGTTGCCCATTCGACGCCTCTCTTGCTGCGCCTGCTTCCTGACGCAACGGCTGTCCAGCCAATGTCGGTCCGTGTCTTTTAAACCATGGGAGTACCCCTGGGGGGAGGGCAGAGGGGGGGCGAGGGGGCCGGTCACGTCGCGCCTCGCGCCAGCCACGTCCGGAAACGTTTGAGGATGGCAGAGTCCCCGACGGCGCCGGCGCGAACCGTGACGTGATCAGGGGGGGGGGCGGGGGCGGGGCGGGGCCGGTCACGGGCGTGATCGCGAACGCTTTGTATAATTATAGGTCCTTGACGAGACGAGGTTGTATTTCTACTCAGGTTTCGGCAAGGTCACCCCGCTCTCCGCCATGCAGGCCAGCCACAACTGGGGGAGCTGTGGTCCTTACCCCCCTGGGGGACTCATCGATTTCGACACCCCTCTCGAGGGATCGTCGATGCGATGGGTTCCCCCAGGGGGGTAAGGACCACAGCTCCCCCAGTTTATGGCTGGTCGGCTATGTCGAACAGCTTTGGGCCGAGAGGGCGTGTGAGTCCCGATCTCCTGTCGGGTCCTCGTCGCGACCCTCCCCATCCCCCCCTCCGTGCACGCAAGCCTGCTTGGATCGCCTCGGCACTGGCACTCTTCGGCCCGCGGCCTCGGAGGGCCCGGCGCCTTCCCGGTGTGGTGTCTCTCCGTCCCGGGGCCGTTCCTGACGGCCTCGCGATGCCCGGTGGCGGGCCCCGGTCGCCGAAGCCGATAGGGGCGTCGCCAGGAGCAGCAAAAATCATGGCGGCCACCGTTCCCTGCAAGGTGGAGGCCCATGCCTCAGGTCTTGCGCCCACCAGGAGACAAAACCGAAGCTCCGACAACATATGTTTGCATGTTTTTGAAATTTGTTTTGGTGGCGCCGAAGGATGGCGATATCGCGCGCACGTCCCAACTTGGACTATGGGGCCAACCGCCACCCATGAATCGCGCGGCAAGCCGGGGTGTTCTTGGGCATGATGCCCAAGAAACACCCGGCTTGCCTCCAGGGTGCCTCGGGTTTCTTGGGTGTCGATGGGCTTGCCATGGGACGCGTGACGCTCCCGCACCAGAAGTCAGTGGATGTCCTGGGGTCTCGGAGTTGGGTTTCTTGTGGAAGGTTTCTTGTGGTGGAGCCCGCACTGTTCTCGCCAGTCGTTGAAAGTAGGTCGGAGACAGGAAAATATACATTACCAGTGGCGGGCGGCTTTTCAATCCCAGGACTTTGGGAGGGTCGGGGACGGCGTCGAGGTAGTGTAGTGTATACATTCTTAACGCCGCTTTCTGAGGTAAACATCAAAAAATACACCAGGATCCCGTATGCACCAGGATTGCGAGTTTCAGTGCGGGGCCAGAAAAAGGCGTCAGTGTATAGAGTTCGGCTCCTCAGTAGGTGTTTCTGGATTCCCAGAGTCCAGTGTACTTCAAGTGCCTTCTCATTTCAAGAGTCGATTCGCCTTCACTGTTTCGGTAATCCAGAAGGGCTTCGCCCACTGCCGCCGGCCTCCTCCCTTTGGAAATGTGGCATGCCAGAGCTAAGTTGGGACGCAAGGGCGCCGTCGTGAACCAATGACGGAGCTTCACGCTGGGGCCAATCTCGTACGGCCCGGCTTGCACAGCAAATTGAAGCACATCTCTCGAATTCTGTCGGTTCGCATTGCGAAGTTGTTGACGAACGTGGTTTCGGGATCCGAAAATCGCGTAATTAATTCATTAGGGATCGTGGCCTCGAGGACGCGAACATTCGTAATTTACAAAGGGGTCGTGGCCTCGGTGACGCACATGTTTTTGTAACTTAGCAGGGGTCGTGGCATGTGCTGAGTCTGCGAAGGATCGTGGCCTCGGGGGCGCGAATATTGAGTCATTTGCAGGGCATCCTGGCCTCGGCGACGCGAGTGTGGTAATTGTGATCTGCGATGGGGCCGTGGCCTCAGTGAAGCAAATGTGCTGCATCTGGCTGGAATCACGGTTGACGGGAGGCCGCGGCCTCAGTGAAGCAAATGTTGTGTTTGAGATGCTTTATGGCTATGAACACGCGGCTACGGGGTAGTTTACAAAGGATCTTGGCTTCGAGGGCGCACCGAATCCGTACGTTGCAGGCACTCGCGGTCTCGGCGATGCGAGTACGGCTTCGTTTGCGAGAGGCCGTGGCCTCAGGGACGCGAGCGATGCATACTTTACGGTGGGGTATGGCTTTCAGGACGCAGATGGGGTGTAATGTACAGCGGATCTTGACTTCGGGGACGCGAATCTTGCATCACTGACTTCGAGTCGTGGCCTCGGCGACGTGAACCTGGTCTAATGTACTTGGGGCCGTGGCCTCGAGGACGCGACTTTTGCGTACTTTGCGGGGGATCGCGGCCTCGGTGACACAAATATTATATAATCTAGAGTGGTTTATAGCCTCGGGGGCGCGAATGTTGTGCAATGTATGAAGGATCATGTCTCGAGGACGCAAATATGGCACACTTTACAAACGATCGCTGCCTCGCGGGCGCGAGCATTGAGTAATTCTCGGGGGATCGTGGCCTCGGAGACGCGAACATTGGATAATTTAAGTTACGCGGAGTCATGGCCTCGGGGGCGCGAATTTTGTGTAATGTATACAAGGGCTTGCCTCAACGGCGCGAATATTATACTATATATTTTCACGTGTCCCATGGTCCCACGAGAATGTTGTGACCCCCCATGGGAAGGCAACAGGGCCCTTTGGGCCCCCCATCCGCCCGCGCGGACTTCAACTTTTTACAGTAGGGAATCGGAAGTAGAACTATAACGTGACTTGAAATGGGAATTGGAACACGGAGCAGGAAACGTAAGACGCGCAGCCTGGTGGCCCCACAAGGGGGCCGATGTATTCTCTGAGTGGGTTCGAACCCAATCTATTTTGCCCGCCTTCCTACTTCATGTATCCCCACCTGCTTCTTCCGACGGGCGGGTGCGCTTGCCCCTCCATGCATGTATTGGAGGTGGAGGAGAAGGAGGGGGGGAGAAACTGAAAGGAGGAGGAAGAGGAGGAGGAGGAGGAGGAGGAGGAGGAGGAGGAGGAGGAGGGAGGAGGAGGAGGAGGAGGAGGAGGAGGAGGAGGAGAAGGCGGCGAGGGAGGAGGAGGGAGGAGGATGGGAAGTTTGAGCAGGAAGTGCAGGAGGAAGAGAACGAGGAGGAGGAGGAGGAGGTGGAGGACCAGTGTAAACCCAAGACTCCTCGAAGTTGTCGCAATACACCCTCCTTCCAAGCTCCCTCTTCATTGGCCCCTACAGCAGCTAATTCCACAGAGGGAAGTGCCCCGTTGGGAGACAACAGTGCGAAAATCTTGAAGCGTGCCAACACCATTCTCAGGACTTCAACGCCAGGAGTCAAGCTGACTGTCGCGTCTTGACGATCCTGAATCGTGCCAGAACGCCATTCTTGGGACACCAACGCGCGAATCAACGTAACTGTTGCGCCCTCACAGGAGACCAGGAGATGTAGGAGGAGGAGGAGGAGGAGGAGGAGGAGGAGGAGGACTCCCAATTCTCACCAGCTTTTTAGTAGGCCTGTCTAATGGGGAGGCAGGAGGCACCCGAACCGCCTGTGGAGCCAATCGAGGAGGAGGAGGAGGAGGAGGAGGAGGAGGAGGAAGAGGAGGCGGAGGACCGGAGGAGGAGGAGGAGGAAGAGGAGGCGGAGGACCGGAGGAGGCGGAGGAGGAGGAGGAGGAGGCGGAGGAGGAGGAGGCGGAGGAGGACGAGGAGGAGGAGGAAGAGGAGGACGAGGAGGAGGTAAAACTGCCGCGGCCTCGAGCGCGAGCAGCCTCCGGAGGAGGGGGCCGCCCCCGGCGGCGCGCCTCCGCGAGGCCCCGCCCGGGCCCCCGGCGGAGGAGGAGGCGACCAGGCGGGCGACGCGCCGCTCCCGCCCCTCTGGGCCAGAGGCATGCACGAGGCTCTCGCCATTGGCGGCCCTCGGCGGACTGGCCCTCGGGCTGGCCGTCGTCCATCTCAGATCGACGAGCGCGCTCCACTGCTCGCAGAGTGGCTGCTCGCAGATGGCCCGGATGCGCCGGGGGGGGGATCTGCGAGAGATGGCATCGAGGCAGACGCGTTTTTGTTTCGGACGCTTGCGAGTGGGCACTCTGCGAGTGGTGGAACGCCCGGGGATCAGAGGAGGAAGGTATCGAAGAAGAAGAAGAAGAAAATGTATGAAGAAGACACGGCACAAAGGAAAATTGGTGGCGCTTCGCGCGGATGTCTCGGATCCCCGCGTGGGCCCCCCTGGCGGCGCCTCCGCCCGTGCGAGGCTCCGAGAGATCCGCGCGGACCTCCAAAGTTTCTGTTTAGGCTGTTTTTTGCTCCTCCGAGGTGCCCACACCGCTTCCGCTGCTTCGCTCTCGTCCTCACTGCGGCTCCCAGAGGGGGGCCCTCGTCGCCACCGCCGGCTCCGCCTCGGGCCTTCTTGGCCAGAGCACACCCTGGGAGGTCCGCGCGGACCTCAGAGTTTTTATGTTTATGTCATTGTTCGTTCCGCTAGAATCAGGAGGGAAAGAAACACACAGACACAATTAATCGTCGACTCCCAGGAAAATATGGGAAAATATGGGAAGTGGGGGGGGAGACAAAAACCCAGAAAATATACGAAAATATCTGGAATCCTTTTATTTGTGTGTATTTATGTGTGTGTCCTGGGGCCCCTTCATAGAAGAGCCCCCCGGACCTGGAAATCGGCGTTTCCGAAACGGCCCTGGGCGTTTCCGAAGCGGCCCCTAGGGAGAGGTCTGGGGAGCGGCGGTACCGACACCTTTGGGCCTCCCCACCGGCGCCTGCCAGGCGTTCGCTCGTCCGCCGTCGCCCGTCACGCATGGCTTCGACGTTCTGTCCGTCCCGCCATCGTCGCCCGCCCTGCCCGTCGCCCTGCGTGGCGACACGTGGCTTCGTCGTTTTGTGCGTCCCGCCGTCGCCGCCCGTCGCCCCCTTCGATTCCCCAGAAAATATTGGAAAACATGGGAAGTGTGGAGAAGACGGAAAACCCCATACTATGGTAGAATATGGGGGATTCTGTTATCTGTGTGTATCTATCTGTGTGTATCTATCTGTGTGTGTGTGTGTGTCCCAGGGCCCCGTCGTGGCGACTCGCAGATTCGACGTTCTGTCCGTCGTCTCGCGCCCTGCCGTCGTTTTGTACTTGTGTGCATTCATGTGTGTGTATTTACTTGTGTGTCCTGGGGCCCACTCGTGGCGACTCGCAGATTCGACGCTCTGTCCGTCGCCTTGCGCCCTGCCATCGTCGCCGTCGCCGGCGGCCGTGCCTCCCCTGCCTCTCCGAGGCCTCACCCCCCGCCACTCCTCGCCTCCGCGTTCATACGAGCTCTGCCGCGCACGAGGAGGAGGCGGAGGAGGAGGAGGAGGCGGAGGAGGAGGAGGAGGAGGAGGAGGATGAGGAGGAGGAGGAGGCAGAGGAGGAGGAGGAGGAGGACGAAGAGGAGGAGGAGGAGGAGGAGGAGGATGAGGAGGAGGAGGAGGAGGAGGAGGAGGAGGAGGAGGAGGGAGGAGGAGGAGAGGAGGAGGAGAAGGAGGAGGAGGGAGGAGGAGGAGGAGGAGGAGGAGGAGGAGAAGGATGATGATGAGGAGGAGGAGGAGGCGTGGAGGCTGAGGGGGGGGAAGGTATAGGGAGAAGGAACGAGCACGAGGAGGGGGGTGGGGGACGAGGGAGAAGGCAGGGGCAGGGGCACGAGGACGAGGGGGGGGCAGGAGTGGGAGGAGGAAGGAAGGAGGGAGAGAGGGGGGGGAGGAGCACATGCGCCCCCCTCGGCTGGGGCCCGACCCCGATCCGCGCAGGAGCGATCCCCAGACCTCCCATGCAGGCCCCGCCTGCCCAGTGGTCCTCCGGGCCGCGCTCCGCCGCGGCCGCCGGGAGCTCCGGGGCCGGCGCCGCCTGCAGCGAGCTGCTCCGCCGCGGGGCCGCCGCCCGCGACCGCCCCAGGCGGTTGAAGGCCGAGGTCCTCAACGCCCGCTTCGACGACGGGTACACCGCCCTCATGACCGCGGCGGAGGCCCGCGTCGCGAGACAAGTCACGACGAGAGGTTGTCCGCTGTTCTCGGCCACGGGGGGCCCTCACAGGGCCTCGGGACCGTCAAGGAACGACTCGGGATGAAGAACCGGCCCCGGGGAAGGGGTCGAGAACTCATGGGGTTCGACGTTGTGAACAAAATCACGACGTCGGGGGTCAGTGGCTGCCGCGCCCGGGAAGGTCGGGAGCCTACAGCCAAGGGAGGAGGAGCCATCCTGAGCCCCCCAGATGCAGTCGGCACTTGCCGAGCGGCCCCGAGCCTTAACTGGATGGCCCTGCCCTGCTTGCCGGAGTCGCCGGGGTTGTCATCGTGCTGCGGTGCCCGATCCCAAGAATGCTAAGCGGCTCTGCTGGTCGGGGTGCTGCTCATGAGGGCGGTTGCTCTGATCCTTGCACGGGCCACTTTCGGGGGCGCGCAGGTCATCGCGCTCCGTGCGTCTCGGCCCAGGCGGGAGGGCTGCCTTCTCCCCATAAGGGGGCCCCGCGAGGGCGCGGAGGGACGTGCGGCCAGGAGCTTCGGGATACCGCGGAGACCCGTGCCAAGAGACACCCCTAGGGGAACAAACCGTGACATAAACATAAAAACTCGGAGGTCCGCGCGGATTTCTCGGATCGGCGCTGGGGCCTCCCGGCGGCGCCTCCGGCGCCGCCCTTGGCGCGCTCCGCGCGCCAGGGAGGGGGGTCCAGCGCCGATCCGAGAAATCCGCGCGCACCTCCGAGTTTTGCTTATGTTTATGTTACTTTTTGTTCCCCTAACCCTGCTTGCCTCCAGGGTGCCTTGGGTTTCTTGGGTTTCGATGGTTTTGTTATGGACAGCGTGACGTTCCCGCACTAAAAAACGATGGACGTCTTGGGGTCCCACCCCGCCCAGGACATGCGGATTCGCATGATCGGGGGCCTGTCGCCGATCTCTCGGCTAGGTATCGCTAATGCTAGGCCGACGTTTTCCCCCCTGTGCCAGTCCCTCCCGATCGTTGCTCCTCAGGATCGAGGATCGCGAGGAGGAGGAGGAGGAGGACAGCGAGGACTGCGGATGCAGCTTACCTAGGTGGCGCCCCCACACTCTTCGAGAGGGGGAGCGACTACGGGATTTATGTATCACAGGGCTTCGGGAACTGAAGCATATGCATTACCAGTGGCGGGCTGTTTTTCAATCCAAGGCTTTTTGAGGGTCGGGGGCGACGTCGGGGTGATGGGGTGTCTACTTTTGTCCCCGTTTTCCTGGGGAAACAGCAAACAATGGATACACCAGGATCCCGTATATACCAGGATCCGCTCTCCTGTGCGAGTTTCAGTGCGGCGCTGGAAAGCGTCGGTTCGGCTCACTACGACTCTACGAAGCATGAGCAGAGTGCTGTGCAGACCTGCGGATCGTCCCGCGCAATGTGTCCTAGATTCGACGGGGCAGCAAACGTGGAGCAGCTCACATTTCTTCGCAGACCCGACGGGACACCACGTGTGGAGCAGGCCGAGGCTGAGCTGTCGACCCCCCCTGGCTCGACCTCCTTGCCGAGCTCGGCCGCAGCGCGGCCGCCGCCCCACCGCCGGGTGGGGGCGGGACGTGCCCCTCGCCCGGCCGGCAGGCGCGTCGCCGGCCCCTTCCCCCGTTGCCGGGGCGCCGGGCCCCCGTCGTCAAGCAGTGGCGAAGCGTCCTGGCTCGCCTTTTTCATAGGCCCCTGCCAAGGAGTGTTGTTAAGAACCTTTTTGGGGTGCTTCCCACGAGCTGTGCTTCGCGCGCTTCTGGCGGGGACCGTCTTGCTTCAGCACATCGGGGTCAGTTCTGAGAACGTTGTTTTTGTCCTCCGAAGATGCGTGTGTTCTAAGGACATGTCGTGGTAGGCCTATAGGAATGCCGGGACGGTCGGCCCTGCTCAACCTCGCCCGAGGGCACCGAGCCTTTGGCTCGATCGGGTGAGGGGGGCTCTGCAGAGGCTCCGGTTCGAGGACCCGACGCAGCTTGGGTGTCTCCGTCTGCCGGAATCGTCTGCCCCTTTTGCCGCTTGGGCCACCTGCCGATGTTCGGTTTTTAGGCTCCCACGGGCTGATGTTTTCGCACTCGTGTGGCCCATCTGGCGAAAGCAACGTTGCTCTCGTTGCGAGGGCGCAGCGCCCTCTGGTGCATCTTTGGTGCCCGCGCGGCGGTTGTCCTGTGTGCGCGTAGGGGCGCGGGAGCAAGTGCCATGTGTGCCGTGTTACTGTTCAGCGGGTCTTGGCCGGTCACTCCCTCCTCCTCCTCCCTGCCCCTCCTTGCTCCTGTCTTGTCTGCCTGATTATTTCGCTGCGTCTCCCACTGCTGAGCTGCATACCACTTCAAGGCTAGTTGCAGCCGAAGTTTAGCCCACTTGTAGCCCACTTTGGGCCAACTTCTACCCCACTTATAGTTCACTTCTAGCCATCTTTTAGCCTACTTTTAATCAATTGTTGGCCGACTCGTGCCCGGTCTTTCAGTTGCGCGCCCTGGAGGCCCGCCGGGAATAAGAAAACGCCGAACGGGAATACAACCGTGGTGGCGAGATTTCAGAATCAATAGAAAAACATGAGATATTCTCGGGCGACCAGACACATGAAAACGTCGACAGGGTTCATGAATTCGCAGAACGAGGATGCGGCGGAGATTCGCCAGCGCATTTTAGCCCACTTTTGAGCCCACTTCTAGCCCACCACTCGTAGCCCAGTTTTAGCCCAGATTTAGCCTGGTCGTTGGCCGCGTGGTCGGAGACGTCGCGAGGCGAGTGTGAGAGCCACGAGGACGAGGAAGAGAAGCGCGAGGGGCAGGAGGGGGAAGGCGAGGAGGAGAAGGAGGAGAAGGCAGAGGATGGTGAGGGAGGAAGGGGAGGCGGGAAAACTGCACGCGACACGTCGTGGTCGCAGCTGGGGGGCGCGAGTTGCATGCAAAAGATACCAGTCCCCCCGGACTCACGCGGGGGAGTGCGGCGCACTTGTGAGGGTGAGGGCGGCAGTACAACGAGGCGGTGGCCACTTCGAGAATGCGCCCCGGATGGCTGGCAGATCTCAACCGAGGGCGCCGCTTGCTGTGGGTCCAGGGCCAGGTGGCGCGCTTTTTGGCGCCAGGAGGCCCATCGAGGCCTGCGGCGCGGGGGACCTCCAGGCCCCAGTGGACCAACCCGAATACTGCTTGGAGCCACACGGGAAGCGCTCATCGGCGGCACGGCTTGAGCTGTCGCGCAGAGGTTCTCGTCGTCGGACGGCGTTCGCACCTTCGCGCCAAACCGAGAACTCCTTCCCAAGCATACCTCCACGTGCCGTGCACGCAAAGACTTCGCCTGGCTCGGGTGGGGGAGGGGGCAGACCAGAGGGCAGAGCGACGGGCGCGGCCTGCAGCGCGTGCCCCTGCAGGGCCGCGTACACACCCGCAGCTCGTCACACGCAGACGGCGTGAGTACGGGGTCCACGCGCCGATCGGCTCCCGATCAACGGCGGCCTCGGGGCCCTCCTCCTGGCCACATCCAGCCCCCCAACAGCTCCACCGTCCCCGCCCCCATGCAGAGGCCGAGGCGAGAGAGGGCGGGTGTCGAAAGCCTCAGCCTCCGCCATGAGGACCTCCTGGATGGCGGTCCGCCAGGCGAAGCCTTTCACCGCGTCCTGGAGGCCTTCAAGGGCCCCACGGCCAGGGCCTGGGTCAGGGTGGCAGGCGGCCCCTTGGCCAGCATGCAGATCCGCCGCCCTGTTCCCAGCCCGGTGAAACTCCGAGATCTTGCCGTCTGACACCGCGCTGTACGGCAGGCGAGCGCTCACTTTGATCGCCCTCGCTCCAGGCAGAGCACGGTGCACCTCTTCCCAGATATGGCATTTGGGATTAGAAGGGTGACAAGCAGTGAGCGGATCGAGCAGGCAACCGACCGTACCTTGACAATCGATGTGAACGGTGGCCTCTGCTCTGACACTACCGCGGGCCGCCATCAGGATGGCCGTATCTTCACTATCGCTGGCAGTTTGGAACGGATTGACGTGCCACAGTACAGGACCATGCGCAGCGGCCAACAGCTGGCCGTCACCAGTGAGCTGCACGAGGCTCCAACCGGCCCTCCTGGACAGAGGGCAGGCCGGTGCCCACAGGCAGTAGACAGGGCCCCCGAAACCTTATGTTTTTTGTGGGCCTTCTGTTTTTTTGGGGCGGGCTTTTCCTGAATTCTTCGGTTGCAAGGACCGCTCCTAGTGCACCACCAGACAGCAAACTCAGACAAGCACCATCGGGCTCGCTCGTTCGATCCTCTGGCCATCGCCTGAGAAAGCGTGCCCTTACTCAGGTGGGCATCTTTATACTTAGCCGGGCGCTGAAGCGGCTCCTCGTCATCATCCTCTCCGCAGCCACCCTTAGCCCAAGGCTATGTTGGCCTCACTGGAGGTCGTGGGCGTGAACGCTTCGGTTAAGGCGTGCCCGTCGTTCGCGGCGTGCGTGTGCAGCTGTTCATCGGTCCCCAATCGCTCAGACAAGATGGGGAAGTCGGGGATACACCCCCAGAGGGGCCATGCGGACGCGCCCCCATCGAAGATGGACGCATCGTATATATATATATATATATATATATATTTATATATATATATATATATGCATACAACTATACACATATATGCATCGGTTCTTATATACATATATATAGCTATCCGACGATACATATATATATACACACATACGTGTGTATATCTATGTATGTATGCATGCATGCATGTATGTAGGTATGCAGGTATGTAGGTATGTAGGTAGGTATGTATGAATGTATGTATGTATGTAGGTAGGTAGGTAGGTAGGTAGGTAGGTAGGTAGGTAGGTCTGTAGGTATGTAAGTATGTAAGTATGTAGGTATGTATGTAGGTATGTAGGTGTGTAGGTGTGTATGTATGTATGTATTTATGTATGTATGTATGTATGTATGTATGTATGTATGTATGTATGTATGTATGTAGGTCGGTAGGTAGGTAGGTAGGTAGGTAGGTAGGTAGGTAGGTAGGTATGTAGGTATGTAGGTATGTATGTATGTATGCATGTATGTATGTATGTATGTATGTAGTTAAATGAGCGGGGCCCAAAATCTGCCGTGCAGTCGGAATAGCCCCAACATCGGGGACAGTCGGCGGCGAGCCCAGGGGGGAAGTGAGAAGGGGCGGGCCTCCTCAGAAGGCTCCGAAGTCCCGGCCTTCTGAGAGATCTTCGAAGCCTCCCCCGAAGGCACAGCAAGCTTCTCAGAAGGGCGGATGCCTTCTGAGAAGCCCCGCCGCCTTCTGAGAAGATTTTCTCCTTCTCGCTTCCCCACCTCGCTTGCCGCCAAAAAATCACGACAGTATGTTGTTGGGCCGTTTTCGGGCTCGGGGGCCCATGGCCGGGCCCCGGGACCGTCCAACAACGACTCGGGAGGGAATCGACTACACGTAAGAGTGACCCTTTGCTTGAATCACCCTTTGTGCGGGCCCACTGGGGTGCCCCGATCGCCGGGAGCGGTGCAGTGATAGCGCCTTGCGCGCTTGTGTTTGGTCCCCCCGCGGCCCCCCAGAAGCCGCGCACCAAAGGTCACTCGTAGCCTGTGTTTATTTCCCCCGCGGCCCCCCAGGAGCCGCGCACCAGAAGCCGCGCACCAAAGGTCACCAAAGGTCACTCTTAGCTTGTGTTTAGTCCCCCCGCGGCCCCCGCAGAAGCCGCGCACCAGAGGTCACTCTTAGCCAGGGCTTCTCTTGCGTGTGGTCGATGCAAAAAAACCGGCCCTGGGGAGAGGGTCGAGACTTCGGCGGCCCGCACCGAAAAGGCCAAAACGTGTGAGGCTTGGGGTTTGTGGCGGCGTAGCCCAGGTGAGTATAAGACGCATCGTCGTACAGTTCACGCAGTCGCCAGGATGAGAACACTAACAACACGCATGGGGAAGCAGTGCCATCACGTTGGAGGACGTGTGGAAGTGACCCCCCCGCCCCGCAACTCTCTTATCGGGCGCGCGGTCCGGTGTACGTGACACTGTATCTGCTCAAGCGATCCCTTGCAACGGTCCCCTCCGCGCGGCTGAACTTCATATCATTCGCCATGGCGTCCCCGTCTCTGTACCTCACCGCCCTGCTGGCTGGCATTGCGGCCGCCTGGCCAGGGGAGCTCAGTCTCCTGCAGTCCGACGATTCGGACTCTGGGTACGTGTCTGTCATGGAGGCCAGCTTCGGCCCCATGCCGGCCGACGCCCCGACGTGGTGCAAGAATGAGACCGAGCTGACATGGGCGCAGAGGAAGGAACGCATGCAGCAGCACAGCACCCTGCAGTGGGCCAAGAAGATGGTGAAGCAGCTCCAGAGCGACGCGAACGCAACGGTCCCGGAGTGGATGGGCAAGCTCGTCGCCGAGGACGAGAAGAGGGGCAGGATGAAATGGGCCGTGCAGGAGTCCAGGCGCCTGCGGGCGGAGGGCAAGGAGACGCCACAGTGGATGGAGGAGCTCGTGGCGGAGGATGCCAAGTGGGCCAACCGCTGGGCCGCGTGCAAGGCCGCCCAGCTGCAGGTCACGGGCGAGGAGGTGCCGGCCTGGATGATGGAGAACGCCAGGAATCGGGTGCTGCTAGAAGTGCCCCTGGCCCGAGGTGCCCCCCGGATTTCCAAGGAGGCCCCCACGGCCTCCAGGGCACCCCTCGCGAGGCCCAGAGGGCCCCAGGGCCTTGAAACTTGATCGAAAAGCTGGGGGCACCTTGGGCCAGGGGCACCTTCAGCCCCCTCCGAAGGAAGGGCGTCCTGGAGGCGGCCACGGAGAAGGCCGAGGAGCTCCAGGAGCAGATCGAGGAGCTGGACGAGCAGAGGGACAGCGAGATCGCGGTCGTGGGCGCCCAGGGCGACGTCGCGCTGGCGAGGGAGAGGATCGGCGGCGAGCGAGGGGGGGGGAGCGAGAGGGAGGAGGCCCTCTCAGAAGGCGGCGGGGCTTCTCGGGAGCCCTCGCGCCCGCCGAGAGGTTCTCAGGAGAGAAAAAAACACACAGACACAATTAATCGACGATACCCAGGAAAATATGGGAAAATATGGGAAGTGGGGGGGAAGACAAAAACCCAGAAAATATGGGAAAATATAGGGAATCTGTTTATTTGTGTGTATTTATTTGTGTGTCCTGGGGCCCCTTTATGTCTACTCCGTGTCTCCGGGGAGGGCTCAGGAGACTCCTCGGGAGACCGGGGGGGGGCGCCCGAGCCTTCCGAGCAGGCCCGCCGCGCCTGACTCCCTTCCGTGCCTTTTTTTTGAATGCATGCTCCGCGTGCGGGTCGTATTGAAAGCAGCGATGGTTTCGTGCATCGATTTCTTCCTGAATTGATCATGTATTAAAAGTCCGATATTGTCAAACATCCCATGTCTTAACAACTGCCCTGTCCCCCCCCCCCTCTCGCTCGCCGCCGAGAGGATGCTGGCCCAGAGCAGAGCCCTGCGCACCACCACGCTGAGCCAGCAGGCCAGCCTGCTCGAGGAGGACCTCGACGAGCTCGACCACGCCGAGGCGGCGGCCCGGGGCGGCGGCGCCGCTGCGCCCGCGGCCGCCCGCGAGCTGAGGCGCGCCGTGCGGAAGGCGACGAGCGCGGCCCACCTGATCACCAAGATGCTGGACAGGAAGCTTCGGGGGAGGAGAAGGTACAGTGCCGTTTTTGAATAATTACATGCTCCGCGGGCGGATCGCGTATGCAAAATGCAGGGATTCAATATATTAAAAACAACGAGGGGTTCATGCAACAGTTTATTCATACATGAATCATGTATTAACCTAGGGTAGATTGTTCCACAATTCTTTGTCTTAAAGACTGCCCTGTGCCCCTTCCGCCGCCCTTGGCTCGGTTTCGCCTCCTCGGGCCTCGGGGGAGGCCCTCGCCGCCACGGCGGGATGCGCCCGGGAGTCCTGGTCAGGACGCACCCCGGGAGAGGTCCGGGGAGTAGCGGTACTCTCGCGGTGACCGCATGGCCGGAACGAGAAAGTATTTTCCCGCCTGAACCCCTTTATTTCCCAAGTCGCGAATAACGTGTGGCAGTACACGCGAGCTGCTGGGGCGAGAATTTGTTGATCGCCTCCGAACCCCGAGTTTTCTGTTCCCCCGGGTGTGATTATATAAGGGGCACTCGGTTACCTTGTGGGCTCCCCAGGAAGATGGAGATGACCAGGGCGCAGGGCGCGTAGAGATCTGGCTGTCCCGGCGACGCGACCGTGTGCTGCCCTCTCAGAGAGGGTGCCGCAGCGGTGCCGCTTCGCCATGGAGGGTGCCCCTTGCGATCTGGCGAGGGTTTTCGCCGAGGCCAGAATTTGCAGATGTCCACCGCCGGGGGAAGCGAGGTTCCAGGTTCTTGATCGTTTTCGTGGGTTTTGGGCGGTTTCCCAGCCTCGGGATGCTGACCAGCGGCTGCGCCTCGCCGAGGGCGTTCCGGGAGTGCCGGGATCGTCCCGAACGGCCGACGGTGAGCCGAGGTGCGCCCCGAAAACCGGGGGCAACAACGGGAGGGTATAGGCTCAGGGGTGAGCGCATCGACCCCCAATCGCCCATTCGACGCTGACGGGGGCTGGATAGCCCACCCCGCCCAGAAACGTACGCTTTCGGTATCGAGAGCTTATCGCGGATCTATTGGCGATGTATCGTCGATTTCAGGTCGATTTTTTTTGGCCGCAGTGGGCCCCCCACTTACCGTTGCCCCTCATGGGGGGGGCCCAAAGTCGGCGGCGAGCGAAGGCGGGAAGCGAAAGAGATAATGCCTTCTCAGAAGGCGGCGGGGCTTCTCAGAAGCCCTCGCGCCTTCTGGGAGACCGTCCCTGTCTTCAGAGAAGGCTCAGACAACTTCTCAGAAGGCTGGGGGCTTTCCGAGCCATCTGAGGAGGCCTGCCCCGCCTGACTTCCCGCATGCTGCCGCCGACAAAGACGTCCCGCTGCCTGCGGCAAGTCCCACCGCCGTGCCAGCCCATCACTCCGGGTGGCGGCTGTCCGAGTGGGCACGGGATGCCGTCACGTCGCTCATGGAGCTCATGCGGGCCCTCCTGGGGCTGCCTTGGTCTCCACTGGGGCAGTCTTAGGGGCACCTGGAGGCCGTCTTGGGGACCTCTTAATTAGGCCGTCTTGTGACTCTGTTCGTCGTTGGGCGTTTTTGGCCGAATGCGGGGTGTCTGGGGGCCGTCGTTGGGCCATCGTGTCGTCGTCTTCTCTCCGTCGAAGGGCCTTTGAGGCTGTCTTGGGTCCCTCGGGAGGCCCTTTTGGGACGTCTTGGGGCCGTCTTGGATGCCTTTGGGGCCACCGTGGGGTCCTCTTGGGCAAGCTTGGGACTCTCTTGGGGGCATCTTAGGTCGTCTTGGGGCCATCTCGGCAGTTCTATGGGCCGCCGTGAACTGACGGATGCCCCAAAAGACGAGAATGCGACATTGCCGCAAACGCCGACAGGAAATTCACGATGCTGGTTGCGTCGGGCCCTGTGGGGTTCTCTTGTGGCCCTCTTGGCGTCACGTGGGCCGTATTGAGGCCCTTTGCGGGCCCCGGAAACGGCAGGGCCGTTTTTCACCGTTTCCAAGAAAATGTCCCTTGAAAATGGAAACGGCAAAAAAAGGCAACTGGAAACTGTAAATAACTGCTTCAGGATTGGAACCGGAGCCGGAACCGGTCGCAAAAAGGGCGACGGAACCGGTACACAAATTGCGTCGGAGCTGGCAAAACAATTGCCAAACGGAACCGGTAAAAAAACGGCCCTGTCGTTTCCAGGGCCCATTAATCAAGGGAGGCCAAACCACCCGGACCGGACAATTGGCATTTACTAAACGGCCTTGGGCGTTTACTAAACAGCCTTGCCCTGCTTGATTCCTTCTTTGGGTGCGTTTTCTAAACGGCTTCGCGTGTCGGGGTGGTTATTCTCGGGGTGGATTTTCTGCCCTCTAATTAAGTTGAGGCCATCTTCGGCCGCCTTCGGCGCTATTTTGCGCCGTCTTCGAGGCGGCCTGGGCTATCCTGGCGCCCTTGGTTGCCTGCCTGGGCCGTCCTGCGGGCCCGCCGCTTTCTGCGGGGGGCCATTGGCCTCGGGAGCGCGGGGGCGATGCCTTCGCCACTCTTTGCGCAGAGGGGGGGCCCAGAAGAGAGCAGAAGACCCCACCTGGCAGTCCACCTGGCATTCTACTGCGCCTCCACGTGCCAGGAGGCCTCTGCTGCGTCCCGGGGTGGTCATGGGGCACCGCTTCCCTGGACGGTGGGCGTGTGTTGTGTCCTGCCTCGGGATGCACCCGCTTCTCGCAGCGGAGAGCTCTGAGCATGCATCGTTGTGCCAATGCATGTCTTTTGACGGGGCCGATTCCACGTCAGACGTACTGTGTATCGAGTTTTTAGTGTCCGACGTGTCACGTTGCACGTGGTTTGTCTGGAGTGCTGTCTGTTTTGTTTGCACGTGCACCGCTCGCGGGGGCCAGCACTCGCCGCTCGATGCCTCCTGAAAAGGTGCCCTGGGGCGGAGGATGCGAAGAGGTCCTGGCTCCTCGATATTGTCATTGTTTCGGGTCGGGCGAAAGGGGGGGTTTGGGAAAGGGGGGGTTACGAAATTTGCTGCATGCAGCTGGTTTCGGCCCACCGAGGGGCCCATTCCTCGATACATGGGCGCCTCCGGCGCCGGGAGGCGCCGGGAAAATCAGCTACGTGAGCTGATTCTCAAACCCCCCCTTTGCTATCCCCCCCTTTCGCCCGACCCGAGAAGAGGTCCTGGCTCCTCGATCTTGTCACTGTTGTTCGTGATCAGGCGGTGCCCCAGGTTATCGTGCCCGCCCCCCCCCCCGCGGACACCCCGACCCTGCCGCCTGCGCAGGTCCGAGGGTGCGCAGCAGCACTTGCGCGCGCGCGGGCATAACGCGGGGATGCCCAGAGCGAACAGGTTGGCTTCTCGGCCGGCACCTCCCTCCCCAGACAGCAGATGACCCGGGGGGGTGTCGCCGAAACATACGAGCATCTGACCTTATTTCCTCTATTTCTCCTCCTGCTCAGCCTCGCGCCTCTTTCCTTTTTTCCCCCCCTCCCCACACCTCGTCTCTCCTCCTCCTCCTTCCTCTCCGATTCCTCCCCCCCTTCTCCCTGCTTCCTCGTTCGCCCCATACCTCTCCCTCCTCCTCCTCCTCCTCCTCCTCCTCCTCCTCCTCCTCCTCCTCCATCCTCCTCCTTCCCTATCCCTCCTTCCCCCTGCTCCCCTGCTCACCGCTCCCTTCTCCTCCTTCCCTCCTTGACTCCTGCCTCATGTGCTTCTCCCTCCTCCTCCTGCCTCCTCCTCGTTCTCGTGCCTCCTCCTCCTCCTCCTCCTCCTCCTGCTCCTCTTCACCAGCGCTCAGCTACTTTCGCTTCTCGTCCTCGTCCTCCTCCTCCTCCTCCTCCACCACCGTTGGTTCACCGATAGGCAACCGAATGAGGGCCCGAACCGTGATCAACGATCCGCGATCTTCGATCATCCCCCCAGCACCTGCAGGTGCCCCGCGGCACATGCAGCGATTTCCCATCACGCCACCCCTCAGACCCAAAGGATCTCTGATGGTCGCCCAGGCCCCCCCACAGCACTCCACAATCTCCAGGTCGCCTCCCCTCCCCTCGTCTAGTCGTCGGCCTCATCCTTCTCCGCCTGCTCCTGCTCATTCTCACCTCCCCGGACAGCCGACGGCGAATCTACGACCATGACGACGGGCGAAGGCGATCGACGAGCTACGGCGCGCGGCGGCCATGACGACAGCGACGACCACTTGAGGACGACGGCGGTGAGCGACCAGCTGCGACGAACGACGACGGCCAACGGCGACGACGACGGTGCCGAGGAGGACGAGGACGACGAGAGGCGGCGACGGAGAGCGACGAAACGCGGCGGGCCCAGACCTTCCCCGACAGAAGTTCGCTTCGATCCGCGGGTTGCGGGGCTCTCCCGACGCCTCCCCGCGGGGGTGGCCACGATCGTCCCGAGAGCGGCCCCCGGAGAGCTGCCCCCCCCGCGGGGATCGGACAAGCGCCAGATCGCTGGAGGTCGGCGGAGCCCGCGCAGGCGACCACGGGGACGACGACGGCGAGCGGCGAGCTGGGGCGAACGGCGACGTCCAACGGCGGCGAGGACGACGCCGACGAGTCTGGTAGCAAATCATGGGAACCCTGTGTGCCCTAGTAGTTCTATCTGTAGAGTGCACTAGCGTCGATGAGCGTCTGGTGATGAGCGATGAGATGCCGATCCGCCTCGATGCAGCGTCGATCGGCGTCGATTCAGCGTCGACCCGCGTCGACGAGCGTCGGCTCGCGACCGCCGACAAGATGATGTGGGAGGCTCCCGTGAGCTGCCGCCGAGGGAGGACGAGGACGGCCAGAGGCGCCGGCGGAGCGCGGCGAGCCACGACGACGCCGCGGTGGGTCGGCGGCGCGGCGGCGACGGCCCCGCCCTCCTCTTGGAGGCTGGCCACGCGGCGGCGGTCCGCCTGCTGCTCTCCGAGGGCGCCGACGCGGCCGCCAAGGTGCCGGGGCCGGCAGGGGCTCACCGCCCGCGAAGAGCACCCCGAACCCCACCCGAAGGCCCCGATCTGCCCTGCATTTCTAGGGAGGAGGAGGAGGAGGAGGAGGAGGAGGAGGAGGAGGAGGAGGAGGAGGGGGAGGAGGAGGAGGAGGAGGAGGGGGAGGAGGAGGAGGAGGAGGAGGAGGAGGAGGAGGAGGAGGAGGAGGAGGAGGAGGAGGAGGAGGAGGAGGAGGAGGAGGAGGCGGATGAGGAGGAGGCGGAGGAGGAGGAGGAGGAGAAGGTGGAGGAGGAGGAGGCGGCGGCGGCGGAGGCGGAGGCGGAGGCGGAGGCGGAGTCGGGGGGGGGGGTCGGGGAGCACTGAGAAAGCACACGTGGAACCCGCACCCCCCCCCCTCCAACCCGAAGGTGGGTCTTCGGGTCGGGTTGGGGTGGTCTGGTAGGCAGCCCGTGGGCGGAGGGGGGGCAGGAGTTTTGATCGGGACGGCCGAAGTGGGCACGGAACGACCGGGTACGATGCCCAGCAGCAATCCCCGTTCCTTCGAGCAGGGCTCGCTGTTCGCGCCGCCGCGGGCGTGGTTCTCTGCAGGCAGGAGGCCGTCTGCCCCAACGGCGGCCGCCGCGGGTTCGAGGCAGCCTCAGTGGCCGGGCATTGTTCCAAGGCCTGTCCGTGCCCAGCCCGGGCGTCCGCACCCGAGATGGGCCAGGCAGGGCGTCGGGTGGACGTGGCGGCGACGCCAGCACGGGCGCGCGAGGTCGAGCACCGCCCGTGGCACGGGATCGGCCGACGTCGGATGCTCCAGATTTCGTAAGAAAGGGAGGGGGGTCTCATTTCGGGGGGGGGTCTCTTCCAGGCTATCTTGGAGGGCCTGCGGGGGTCTGGGGGCGATGTTTTGGAGGGTTCTCCCACGGGGGGGGGGTCTGAAATGGCTTGTCTTGGAGGGTCCAGACCCCCTCCCTTGTATTACGAAATCTGGAGCAACTTGTGCGCTCGTTCTCGAGAAGCCACGATCCTTCGAGGCTGCACGATCCTGGCGGCAACAGAAACCAGCGCCGACGCCGGGAGTCCTGAGTCGGGGGTCGATGCAAACGGGGGTCAGCCAGGGGTTGCCGGACCCTGCAGGATCCTGCGAAGCCAGGAGTGCACCGACCCGGGCTGGTGCGCAGGACCCTGCAGGACTTGGCAGGGCCCTGCAGAGCCCGACGGACCTGGACTTGCATTGGCCCGCGTCCGTACATTCCCTATAGAGCGGGGTGTCGTGCCTCACGGCGGTGGGCAGGCTCGGAGGCAGCGTTAGCGGGGGGGGGGATAGTCAAACAGGGCCAGGATCGGGACAAATCGCTCCCAGAGCGTTCCGGAGCGCTCTCAGAGCGTTCCGGCACGCTCTGGAACGGCCGCGGCGCCCAATGCATCCTCCAAACCCGCGGATTCTCAGAGATTTCGAGTTATCCCGATCCGATTTTGTCCCGACCTTCGCGTCGTTTTAGATAGGCCAAAGGTTTCCGGTCCTTCTCGCATGCTCTCGGCGGCCCTCCAGCCTCGGAGTGCTGTCCAGCAGCTGCGCCTCGCCGAGGGCGCTGCGGGGCTGCCCGGTTCTTCCCGCGCGGCCGCCGGGGAGCCGCGTGATGACGCTCGCGTCGTGGGAGAATCTCGAGGCGACGTTTTTTGACGTTTGCGGCCTCCGGGGGCCCTCGCCGGGCTGGGGGACCGTCAGACAGCGACTCGGGACGAAGCGACGGTCCTCGGGAGCGGGCCGAGAGTTCCGGGGAGCGCCACCGTGAGCAAAATCACGACGTCGGGCGTCTGTGCAGCAGCTGCGCCTCGCCGAGGCTGTTCCAGGGATGCCCCCGGAGCCTTCATAGCCCTCCCGAGCGGCCGCCGGGAAGCCGAGGTGTGACCTGAAAATCAGGAGGCAGTTCTAAAGGGGGGATGCGGTGGGGGCGCTCGTGAGGAGTGTGCCCAGGAGGCCTCAGACACCAGAGAACTCCTGGTCGAATGAGGGCGTCGGTCGTACCGGGGCGTGTGGCAAAAAAAACGGCCATCCGCGCGCGATGATATTTTGATAACATGCACATGAGCGCGACGCCCGAATGCTTCCCCCAGAAGTCCGAGGGCCAAGACGGCGGGCGCGGTGTCACCAAAGCCTCGCGAGTGGGAAACATGCGAGGGGCAGAGATCTGGCTTGGCGGCTCAATGCTGCGCGGTCGTTTTTTACGCGCCCCCCAGCATTCATGGTCAAGTCTCCACTGGTGTTCCACCAGCTTTCAGGCCCTGGATTCCTGACCCACGGGCTTCTTATCCAAACCCTTCACCGTAGGCTCCATGGGGGGACGCCTCGACGCTACATCGCCCATCGACGCGCCGCGGGATGGGGGGCCCGCACGGCGGTTGGCGCGCGGTGTCGGCCAGGCTCTTGCCGTAGCGCTCCCAGATTTCCGACGACGTGATTCGTTCGGTCCCGGCGCTTCTCGGTGGTTTCGGCTTCTGATGCGCGTTACTTGGAAATCGACAGAAAGCTGCGTAAAACAACTTGCTGGCGGAGCTCCGCGATCTGCGCTGCGCCCCCCCCTCTGGCGCCGCCCCTGGCGCGTTCCGCGCGCCAGGGGGGGGGGGCAACGCCGACCCAAGAGATCCGGGCAGCCCGCCGAGAGTGTATGTTTGCACCCTTGTTGTGCGTCCTCTGCTGCTTGGCCCATGGGCCATCAGAAACACATCTCGGGACGAGCCACTAAGCCGAGGCAGGGGTCCGGGAGCTCTGGGGCCGCGGATCGACGAATCAACGTGTTCGGTCATGTCTGGGCTTCTCGGGCTCCAACGGTCGAGGTTCTCCATCCTCTTTCCCATCATCATCATCCTCATCCTCCTCATCATCATCATCATCATCATCAGCAGCAGCATCATCATCATCATCCTACTCCATGTTTTTCGTCCTCTCCTCCCCTTCCTCCTCCTCCTCCTCCTCCTCCTCCTCCTCCTCCTCCTCCTCCTCCTCCTCCTCCTCCCCCTCCTCCTCTTCCCCACCCCCCCCCACTTCGGCTTATTATCCTGCTGTTTCTTATCCTCTTCATATTGAGCCTTCCGCATCCGTCTTCTTGTCCCAGGTCCGCATCCTCTTCCTCATCCTTCTCATCCCAGGTCCTTCTCCTCCTGTTCTTTCTTATCCGTCTTTGTCCCCCCATCATCCCCTTCTCCTCATTGTTACGTTTTTGTTGCCAGGAGGCTCCTGGGTCCTACTCCTCTGTCTCCATATCCGTTTCCTCTTCTTTGCCTCCTCCTCCACTCCAATTCCTTATGGATAACTCCTCCCCGTCGCACCACTAGGCTTGTTGGCAGGCGGGGTCAGGCGTTTCGCCCGCCGCGATTTCCTCCCCACGTATGATCCTGAGGCTTGAACGTGTGCGGCAGTTACGAGGACGGAGTGCGGGCGGAGGGTTTTTCTTCAAAATGCGGCTCTCCCCCAGCGCCGGCTTGTATGCACTTGTGAGGGGTGGAGTTGGGACGGGTGAGTTAGCATCATGGGTTTGCTCTAGTCCCTCTTCTCCTCCTCCTCTTCTCCTCCTCTTTCTCCTCCTCCTCCTCCTCTTCCTCCTCCTCCTCCTCTTCCTCCTCCTCCTCCTCCTCCTCCTCCTCCTCCCCTTCTCACAGCCATCTTGTGGCTGCCAGGGAAAGCCCGGGACACTCTTCCTCTCCTCCTCTTCAGGGCCCAAGGCCAGGAGGGGGACCCTCCTCGAAAAAGGGCTCGGGGGGGTCGCCTCGTTCTGACCCCTCGCGAGAGCCTCCTGTTGTCCCCGCCCGCCCCCGATTTCGTAGAGCCTGGTGGCCAAGCTCACGGGATCGCGCGCAGCCCCTGGAGGTACAGCACAGTCCTGGTTGGCCGCGGCCCTCCCTCAGCACAAGGCTGGGCCAGGGCGTTCTCGGCACGGGGCGTGGAGAGACCGTGCCGAGAACGCCGATCTGGGCTGCCCCGCGAGACCGGCCGAGACAGCTCCCCGCAGAAGGCACCCATGCGCGTGTGCGCCACCGGGTCTGGCCAGACGGGGCCATCCTATGGGCCACCCTCCCGGCCGAGGCACCCACATTCGGACCGAGGTATAAGATCGAGGTCGGTTCGGAGAGGGCACCCTAGTGTGTTTCGTGTTTGTTGGATGTTCTTGCGGATCCTGGGGAGGGTGTCGTTGGATGTTCTGAATTGTTCTGGCCGGCGGAGGGTCTCATGCTTTTGATGGATGCTCTTCTGGCCTGGGCCCCAGTGTATACGGCGTCTGATATACGCCGTGCCGGGGCCCGCGGTGGCCCCGGCCACGAGCCCGGGGGCGCCCTCCGCCGGGCTGCCATTCTGACGTCCGCCGAGCTGGTGTTGTTGATCCGTGGCCCCAGAGGTCCAGAAGCCATTCCCCGAGGGTGCTTGATCCGTGCTCCTCCTCCTCCTCCTCCTCCTCCTCCTCCTCCTCCTCCTCCTAATTGGGTGCAACGAGCTCTCGCGGGCGCGTGTTCCTCGCTGCTGCTCCGAGTGCCTCTGGGACTCGAACAAAAATGCTTGGTCCGTGCTCGACAGTGGGCCCCCGAGGCCGAGGTCGAGGAAGCACGCAGGGTTTCGAACGACCCGTACACCTTAGGCGATGCTTAAGAAAATTTAAATTTTCGGCCAGGGTCTCGATTATTCTTAATGTTTCAACGTAAATCCTAAGATTTTATTAGAAATTCTGGGTTTTTATTCAAATTCTGAGACTCTGAATTTCTTAACCCATGATTTCTTAAGCATTTCGCATGGTGTACAGTGCCGTTTTTGATTCATGCTCCGCGTGCGGATCGTGTATGAAAAATGCCGGGATGTAGTATAAAAACCAACGATGGGTTCGTGCATAAATTTATGCCCAAACTGCTCATGTATACTGAACACCCTATATTAAAAAAAACCTGTGTATCAAAAGCTGCCCTGTGCCCTCAGAGATCTTGACATCTGCGGGCTGCCCGTGGCGCGCAGCGCCGCGTGCCGGCCCCTCCGAGAAGCCACGCGGCCCTGCCGGCCCCGCCGGTCGCCACAGCGGTGCCCCGCTCGCCCCCGCGCGCCCCGGCGCGAGAACGCCTACGGCCAGTCCGCCGTGCACCTGGCCGTGCTGCAGGGGCGGGCCGCCCCCCCCACCGCTCGGGGGTGGACAGACCTCCTTCCCTGACACGTCGATCAAGTCGGAGGGCACCAACTATACACCAACACCGATCCTGGCCCAGGATCACCATGGGCCCATGATCGGTGTATATGCCTTCTTGCCCAAGGCAGGAGGGCGTATACACCGATCCTGGGCCCAGGATGATCCTGGCCAGGATCGGTGTTGGTGTATAGTTGGTGCCTTCCTATCAAGGAATTTGCCGTTTTCGGTTCGCGGGAGGGGTGTCGCGGCCGTCATTTTTGCGGGCTCCGGTCCGTCGGTTTCGGTCCCAGGCCGGTTTCACTAGAGGGAGAGGTTTGCTAAAGGGAGGTTTGTCCACTGCCGGCCCGCGCCCGCCCGCGCCCCCCGCGCCCGGGACCTTCGCTGCCCTGCTGCGCCCGTGCCGAGACGCAGCTCGCGCCGTGTGCAAGACGTCCGTGGTGACACGCTGCGTGTTGGCTCGGCACGCGTCGGCCCACGCGTTGGCGAACGCCTCGCGCCAGAGCCACGTGTTCGGTCTGCGTGTTGGGCCCCGCATCAGTATAGCTGCGTGCTGCGTAGTGCGTGTCTGGGCAGCCCTGCCAGGCCCAGGCCCAGACCCCCTCGCGTCGTGGAGCAAAAGCACGGCGAAAAGGTTTGGATGTTTTCCGCCTCTGGGGGCCCTCGCCGGGCCACGGGGCCGTCGAACAGCGACCCGCCACGAAGAACTATCCCGGGGCAGGGGTGCAGGCTTCGGGGGAGCCACGGCTGAAGAATGCTCGACGTGGGGTGTCTGGGTGCCTCCCCTGAGATCCTGGCGTTGGCTGTTGTTTGTTCCTCTCTCTCTCTCACACTTTCTCTTGTTACTCTCTCCCTCTTTCTCCCTCCCTCTCTCTCTCTCTCTCGTCACACTTCCTCTCTCTCTCTCTCTTTCTCTATTTTTCTTACTCTCTCCTTCCCTTCGCGAGCGAAGAACGTATCCGTATCCGCGGTCTCGCGGGGAGGGCCCCTGGGCCGCAACCCGGCGGATACGTGGCGTTTGTTCGCAGATGCCCCGCGCGGAACGTACCCTGCGCGACCGCATAATTCGGCGGGATCGCGCCCCAGAATCCAGACCGCGAGGGCATGGACATGGATACGTTCGCCGCTCGTGATCCCTCCCTCTCCCTCCTCTCTCTCTCTCTCTCTCTCTCTATCTCGCTCTCTCTCTCTCTCTGCCTATTTTCCCCTCCCCAGGCATCCAGCGCTCCAATTTGTTCGACGCGTGGACTCCCACAGAACTGCACCGTTCGTCCAGGGCCGGTGAGGATGAGAAGGGATAGGAGGAGGAAGGAGGAGGAGGAGGAGAGCAAGCAAAAGGGCCATAGGTCTCCTGGATGCTTCTCGGAGCCTCTTGGGGGTATCTCTTGGGCGTCTTGGGGGTAGCTCTTGGCGGTCGTGGGGGGCTCTTCGGCGTCTTGGGTGCCCCGGGGGGGAGGGCCTCTTGGCGCCGCTCGGGCTCCTTTTGGGGGCCTCTTCGCCCCGGAGGAGGAGGAGGAGGAGGAGGAGGAGGAGGAGGAGGAGGAGGAGGAGGAGGAGGAGGAAGAGAGGAGGAGGAGGAGCAGGAGGAGGAGGAGGAGGAGGCGTTGTTCTGCCCGCCGCGGGGCCCGCGGAGGGCCCCTGGAGGCCGACGGTCGCCGGGAGGCCCGGCCGGCGCCACTGCCTCGGGGCCTCTCGGCCTCCCTCTCTCGGGCACGCCGCGCGTGCGGCCTCTCTCCCTCCCATGCCTCTCTCCCTCTCCCTCTCTCCCTCTCCCTCTTCTCCCTCTCGGGCGCAGCAGCTCTCGCCCTCTCTCTCTCCCCCTCTCCCTCTCTCTCCCTCTCTCTCCCTCTCCCTCTCTCTCCCTCTCGCTCCCTCTCTCTCCCTCTATCCCTCTCTCTCTGCCTCTCTCTCTCTCTCTCTCTGCCTCTCTCTCTCTCTCTCTCTCTCTCCCTCCCTCCCTCCCTCTCTCCCTCTCTCTCTCTCTCTCTCTCTCCCCATCTCTCTCTCCCTCTCGGGCACGGCAGCTGCAGACTGCCAGGCCCCCGTACGTGCCCGGCACACCTCAGGGAGCTCCCGGACGGTGAAGCCACCAGTCGCTGAGCAGGCGTCCGGAGAGGTCCACTTCGCGAGGCGAGGCGGTGGAGGAGCGCGCGGCGCAGGGGCGAATAGAATCGCTCCCAGGACCGACCACAGTGCGGTTTAGCTTGGTCCTGGCATTTGTTTTGTTTTTTGTCTCGTTATTCGCCTCTGTGTCGCTCCGTTTTTTCGTTCTCGCTTTCAACGCCTCGCCTCGCTGTTCGTTTTGTTTGGCACCGGTTTCGTTTTGAACCTCCGTTTTGGGCTCCGTTCTGACTTCCGTTTAAAACGCAAGATTGGTTTACTCATCGTTGTGGTCTGTCCCCTCTCCTTCTCCCCATCCCCCTCTCTCTCTGCCTGGCGTGCTCCGCGGTCATTCCTGATCCGAGGGCCAGGCGCGCCTACGGGGTGCTCTCGGCGTGGCCTGGTGGTCCCGTGCTCGGACTGCAGCGCCGACAAGATCAGAGAACAAGATTGCTGCTTTCATCTTGGCATTTCGTCTGAGTACTGTGGCGGCGTTCGGTAAGGAACGTTCCCACGAGGCTTCAGACTCCAGAGGATCCCTGATCTGATGAGGCTGGCGATGATGCCCATGGTCGAGCGTCGACTGGTGTTCCACCAGCTTTCGGACCCTGGTTAATTCTCAATCCGAGGGCTCCTGATCCCAAAACCCTCACCATCTCTCCCTCCCTCTCCCTCTTTCTCCCTCTGTCTCTACCCTCCTCCTCCCTCTCCTGAGATCCGACGTCTCTAAAAAAACGCAACAGCGCGACAAAAACACGATAGGAGCCCCCGACCCCACCTTTCTGCGTCACCCTTCGAGCGGGATCCATCTGTGAGGGTCCCAGGGCCCGAAGTTTGTTCGAAAACGCCCAGCTCGAAAGAATGGCGACGCCAGGATCTCAGGATCCCTCTCGCTCCGGGGGCCGCGCGTGCCACCGCCCCCTTGAGGAGGAGGAGGAGGATGAGGAGGAGGAGGAGGAGGAACAGAAGGAGGAGCAGGAGGAGGAGGAGGAGCAGGAGCAGGAGGAGGAGGAGGATGAGGAGGAGCAGAAGGAGGAAAACAGGAGGAGGAAAAGGAGGAGGAGGAGGAGGAGGAGGAGGAGGAGGAGGAGGAGGAGGAGGAGGAGGAGAAGGGGGCGGCCCCACCCGGCCGCACCGCAGGCGGGGCGGCGCGGTGGCCGCGCTCCTGGAGCCGCCCGGGGCTCGGCAGGCCGCCGTGTCGTCGGAGCACCAGGGGGCCACCGCGCCGCGCGGCCGAGGAGTGCAAGCGGCGCCGAAGCGGCCCCGCGGGGGGCCCGCACGTCGGGGCCCTCGGGGCAACGAGGTCTACGCACCGAGACCCCCATGGAGTCATGAAAAAGGTCACGACGGGGTGTTTTTTTACGATTTTCAACCTCCGGGGGCCCTCGCCGGGCCTCGGGGCTGTCAGACCACGGGTCAGTATGGAAAACCGGTCCCCGGGAAGGATCCCAGGCTTCATCAGGCTTCGGGGGGTCACGTCGTTGCAAGATCACGACGTCTGGGGTCTGGGCATGCAGAGGACACGGGTCTCCGAGCACACGTTTTTTTTTTTTTTTGAAAAAATCTGGGCGGTCTTTCTCGATTTCGGGTCCCTGGGGCCCGTCGTCGGGCCCCGTGGCCATCCCCAATGTATCCCGGGCAGAGAACTACTCCGGAGGAAGGGGTCGGGACTGGGCCGCGGATTGAGCACTTTTACGTCGGAGGAGATCTGGGTTCAGCAAGGGCTCCCTCGAGGGCGCGAAGTTATTCGCGCTTCGCGGTCCTCGTTCCTTCTCCCCCTCCTCCTCGTCCTCCTATTCTCCCTTTGGGAGGGCGGCGCGAGAGCGCGAAGTCATTCGCGCTTCGCGCTTCGCGCAGCGCGAAGCGCGAAGTTGGGAGCCCTTGGTTCAGAGGAGGCGGAGATGCCGACCCTCAGATCCGGGCGTGGCAACTCTTGCGCGCCGGGCGTGTCCGCAGGGCTTCTGGCCCCAGGGGGCCCTGCTGCAGATCCTGCCGGCCGGAGGCATGGCTGCAGAAAGGTAGGATCTGTGGGCTCTGGTCGTGATCTGTCCGCGCAGTGTACACCTTAGGCGATGCTTAAGAAAACCCAAGTTTTCGGCCAGAGTCTCGATTATTCTTAACGTTTCAATGTAAATCCTAAGATTTTGATAGAAATGTTGGGTTTTTGTTCAAGTTCTGAGATCATGAATTTCTTAACCCATGATTTCTTAACCATTTCGCGTGGTGTACACGCTGGTCGTTGAAAGCAGGTATTTTTTGATGTCCAGGTCCCACTCTGCTTCAGGCGCCTTCTTGCTCCAAGAGTCGAGCGGCCGTCCCTCTTCCCTCCTCTTCGGGGCGCGGGCGGAAGCTCAATCTAGCTCCGACGCCTTCCGAGGCCAACAAAGAAAACGGCATAAACATAAACTGTCGACGGTCCGCGCGGATTTCTTGGATCCGCGCTTGCGCCCCCTGGCGGCGCCTCCGGCGCCGCCCCTGGCGCGCTCCGCGCGCCGGGGAGGGGGTTCTGGCCCAGATCCAAGACATCCGCGCGGACCTCCAAAAGTTTGTGTTCATGCAGTTGTTCTTCCTCTAGCCTTCACGTTGCACCTTCTGGAGTCCTCGCTTGTCCCCGAAATTGGTGTCGTTTCTTGTTCCCCACGCGGGCTCGATGCGGACTGGACGCGGATTTGGCGTACGCGAATTCGACAAGGATTCGACGCGGATCTGGACACGACACCGATTCGGCGCGGATAGGGCCGCGAGGGGACAGATAAGGCCTCCCGAGCATGCAACATAGCAGTCTGCTTCCAACGCCTTCCTGTTTCATGCTTCTGCCCACCTCTGCCGACCGACGGGTCGCCACCTTCTTCTCGCGGCATCGCTCTCGGGGCATGACGCGCTGCCCTCCCCTCGCCGCCGCCGGGTGCGCCTCGAGATCCTGGTCGGGGCGCGCCCTCGCGGAGAGGCCCCGGGGGAGCAGCCGTGCCGGGCTCCCCATCTGTCCTCTCCTCTGGGCATCGTCGCGTCGTGGGAGGCGAGGGCCGAACAAGTGGGGCGTTCTCGGATGCCCAATACCCAAGTCCCAATCTACTGCAGTTGCCTTCCTGCTCCAGTGGATCGAGCGGTTTTCCCTCTCCCCTCCTCCTCAGGGGGCGGGTGGAGACCCAGTCTGCTTCCAGCGCCTGCCTGCTTCATGCTTCTGCGTTTCCCTCTCCCCTCCTCTTCAGGGGGGCGGGGGGAGACCCGATCTGCCTCCGACGCCCCCCTACTTCATGCTTCTGCCAATTTTCTGTTCGACCGACGTGCACCCTCGTCGATCCAAGATGCAGGCAACTCGATGGGCGGCTAGGGTGGGATTCGAATTTCGTCGGACACCTGGCGAAATCCGAGCCCTACCCCGCCTCCCATCGATTCAGGAGGAGGAGGAGGAGGAGGAGGAGGAGGAGGAGGAGGACGAGGAGGAGGAGGAAGGAAGGAGGAGGAGGAGGAGGAAGGGAGGAGGAGGAGGAGGAGAGGAGGAGGGAAAGGGAGGAGGAGGAGAGAGAGGAGGAGGAGTAGGAGGAGGAGGTGGAGGAGGAGGGCGGAGGGGAGGGGGGAGGAGGAGAGGAGGATGGGAGAGGGTAGGAGGAGGGGAGGAGAGGAGTGGGAGGAGGGGGAGGAGGAGGAAGAAGATAGGGGAGGGGAGGAGGGGTGGAGATGAGAGGAGGGAGGGAGGAGGAGGGGGAGGGGAGAGAGGAGGAGGAGGGAGGGCTGGTTGGTGGGGCTAGAGCTCGGATGTCGCCACCGACGGGGGAAGTTTTGGGTGTTGGTTCGTTTTTTCGGCCTCTCTGAAGGCCCTTGGAGGGCTCTGCAAGCCAAGTGCAGCGGCTCACAGACTCCCAAAGCCCCCCTGACTAGTTAATAAGTCTTGCTGCTGTTAACGACTTGTTTTGTAGACGATGTCAGGTTTCGAGGGGCCGACGTCGGGCCCTGGGGCAGTCTAGAGATTCTGCGGGACGAAAAACATTGCCCCCTGCGGGAAAGGGTCGAGCGTTCCGGGCCCGCGTTTAGAACATGTGGAACCAGTACTTTATTAGTGAATTGAATTGGTTTTAGGGTTTCAACAAATGGTCGCAGCCACGCAGAGGGCGTGCGTAGCGACGCCCAAAATGCTCGGCCTCCAGTACTTCTACGTGGCGGCGCCCCCGCAGGCACGCAGAGAGCACGCGTGGCGACGGGGGAGTCGCCACGCAGAGCTTCTAAAGACCAAACATTTTGAAAACCAATTGTTTCCACTACTAAAGTACCTGAGAGGTGAAGGGGAGGCGGCCCGAGTGGCGATATGGACGAGGACCTTGCGACTTCAGGCGGTCTGGCTTTCGCGGAGGACCTTGCGACTTCAGGCGGTCAGCCCCGCCGTGTGCGGTTCAGCTCAGCTTGCCCCGAGTAGGAGGAGGAGGAGGAGGAGGAGGAGGAGGAGGAGGAGGAGGAGGAAGAGGAGTAAGAGGGCGGGGGGAGGAAGCGGTGTTCCTCCTCCCTCCTCCACCCTCCTTCCTCCCTCCCTCTTCCGATTTCCGCCTCCTCCTCCTCCTCCTCCTCCTCCTCCTCCTAGCCATTGCGGCCCGAGCGTCGGGTTTGGGCGTTCGCGCGCGCGACTCGCAACGGCGCACCGCGCGGGAGCTCAGTGATGTCCCTCCGGGCTTGGGCACGATCCTCAAGCTGCTGATTCCGGGTGCGATTTTCAATGGCGAGCTCGGGGGACCTGCCTCGGACCCCGCCCGCGAGGTCGGCGCCAGCGAGCTCATTGTGGAGCTCCTCGCCAACCAGCGTGGTGTCCCGCAGCTCAGTGAGGCAGGCCATCGAGGCCAACAGGAGGGAGTTCGAGAAGCGGGGTGAAGTAGAGGCGCTTGCCCATGGTCTCGGGCTTGAACTGGGAGGGCAGCGTGTGCCCCATGACGATGGCGAGGAGGAGGAGGAGTAGGAGGAGGTGCTCGCCAGCTGGCCCGACCTGTGCGTGAGGCTCGCGGAGGTTGGCCTGATGGAGGACACCAGCCTCAAGAGCACGGAGAAGGACACCCAGGAGGACCAGGAGAAGTACTACCAAGTGCAGATCGTGAAGAAGCCGCTACCCAAGAAGAGGCCTCGCCGAAGCACTCCCAGGATCAGAAGGACACGGAGAAACACACGACGAGGCGGAGGCCATCGAGGCAAACAGTTAAGCTACATGGTCATTTCCGCATCCAGGTGGCCAAGTGGGAATGCCCGAGCAGGAAGTGCCAGTACATCATCTTCGGCTTCAGGCGGAGCTGCGGGATGTGCCGAACCACGCCGCTCGAGGAGACAATGATCATGCCCAAGAGGCAGTTGGAGGAGCTGTAACACTTGCGACAGCTCTCGGAGGAGTGTCAGGAGGAGACCCTCAAGGAGCTGGAGCACCAGAGGAACGCGAAGAAGGAGGCGCCGTCACTTGCGACGCCGCCGTGGAAGAAGAACCGCTGGACGACGAGATGAGCCTCCCCACTCTCGTGCAAGAGTTCGCCTTGGACTCAAAGATGCTTGGAGATCTTGAGTTGCAAGGTACCGTTGCGGGACAACCTGGTCGAGACGCGGCCGACTTCATCAGGGACTCCCTGGACTGCTCGCTCGCGGCGTGGCGTCAGGCAGTGGTCACCCAGGAGGGCGAGGAGAAGGACGCCATGAATGCAGACTCGGTGTGGTTCGCAGACGGGGGCGAGAAGGAGGAAGACAAGAGTGCAGACGTGATGGAGTTCGCAGAGGTGGGCACGAAGAAGGGCGACGAGGGCTACTCAGCATCCGACGGGGAGATCAGCCTCATGACGGAGGGTGGGGCGGCTCTCAAGATTTTGAGCGTCAGGTCCGACATGGAGGAGCCCGACAACAGGGAGCAGGTCGCCGAGCCGAAAATCGGCCGCAAGAAGATGTGGAGCAAACGCGGTAAGCACACTTACAGAGCGGAAGGACTTCCCGAAGTTCCGCAGCAGTGTCGTCGCCATGGGGAATCGCGACGGCAATTTCGACAGAATCGACGATGCCACGCTTGAGAAGCTGGCGGAACAGATATTGTGTGCCGACTGAAAGAGCGTGGTGCGCAACTGCACGAGGAGCAATCAGTTCCTGAACGAGTACAGTCAAAACCCCTAGTAAGGACGCGCGACTTTGCTCAGGGTACCCTTGCGTCCTTGCTCTTCCATGCTCTTGCGTCCTTGGGGTTTTCGTCGTCCGCCGCCCCAAACATCCCAACT